ATATTAAAAAAAGTAGCAAGATTCATATGCTTATAAGAATCACTATATGCGCTGTCTTTTTGCTGTTCTTTTATGGATCGTTTCTGGAGCATCTCTACCAAGAGTCCAATAGTAGTCTGCAAGCATGGAAGGATTCCACTTTCCCTGGTACCTTTTTTCCATTGTTGAAATATCCTGATGAAAACGTTCGACGCGCTCATCACTTACGGCTCCGCAATTGTCAGGAAAAAAGTCCAGGTGTGAGTGTAGGAAATGTATCTTAAGAGACATATTACAGCCCATCTTTTGATACGATGACAGCATATTTTTGACAAGGGTTTTATAGTTGTCAGCTTTCCTATTTCCCAAGAAATTAGTGACCACCAGACGGAAATCATTCCAAGCAGTTTTTTCAATACTTGTTAAAGGGTTTTCAAACTGTGTATAAAATATTTCAAATCTGTGGCCCAACAAAAATACTTTCTTTAACCTTTGCCTCACTTAGCCTTGGAAATTTCTGACGCAGGTATTGAAAAGCTGACCCATCTCTATCTAAGGCCTTGACAAAGTTTTTCATTAGGCCCAACTTGATATGCAGTGGTGGTAATAAAATTTTTTTCGAATCCACTAATGGCATATGCTGTACATTTTTTTGACCTGGCTCTAGGAATTGACGAACAGGCCAGTTTTGTCTGGTGTAATAAAGTGCCTTTGCCCGACTGTCCCATTCACACAAAAAACAGCAAAACTTTGTGTAGCCTAGCTGCAGCCCAAGTAAAAGTGCAACAACTTTCAAATTGCCACAAATATGCCATTGGTGCTCATCGTATTTTATGCATCGTATGCTGCAGTCTTGATCCAAGTAACTCTGCCTTACATTTTGGAAGTTCTAAATACGAGTATCTTACAAGATCATTTAATTCTGACTGTGTTATTTTGTGCGGTTGGTGGCATGACGTGCTCGGTATAAAATCAGGATCTCTTGACGTTGATGGCATATCTTCTTCCTGACGAATCACTCGATCGCCATGATCTGATTCGTTTTCTGATTCGCAAGTGTAGGATTCTGGGGGTTTTGGAATAGGATTTTCGTCACTGTGAGACACAGGTCTCACCGCAGATGGTATGTTTGGGTAGTTAATAACCGATTTTTTTTTCGTGGACATACCTGTGGCTTGTCCAACACAAGGTACCATGCAAAAGTAACAATCATTAATATGATTTGTAGGCTCTCTCCAAACCATTGGGACAGCAAAGCGCATAGACCGTTTTTTGCCATTTAACCAACTCCTCAGACTTGAAGCACATGTATTACAGCAGATGTGGGGTGCCCACTGTTTGTCTTGATCACCTAGTTTACAACCGAAATAAAGCTGACATGCCTTTGTTATTAGTGGAGTAATAGACCGTCTCTGAGACGCAAAGGTCACATCAGCACACACGTAACAAAACTGATCTGGATTGTTTACACACTTTCGAGACATCTTGCATGAACGCTGTCAGCCAACTGAGGGAAAAATGGCTAATATAAAACAATATAATGTACACGTATGTATAACGTAACACAATCATGCCGATTACATCATCTTTCCTTGCCGAATATAAAAATGTAGCACGTACATTCTTGTGAATTACAGTATATTAATACTGTCACAGCAGGAAAACATATAATTACCGTATCTCTAAAACTTGAGCTAATATTGAAAAAATAAGTTTCATTCCGGTTTTAGCACATTAAAAATAGTAACATTTTGTTGATTTTATTTAGGATATTTTTTGGCTGTTGATCAGTGTAATCCTTAACAATAACAATACACTTACAACCCGTCAAATATAGCTAGAGACTTGGTCTTCCCGATATTACGCTCCACCTCCGATGCGCACTAGACAGCACCAAAATTTCATCATTAGTATTTCGTGACAACTGGACGCAAGGTGTTGTACAGTCTGCGACAAAAACTATTCTGTTGAGTTTCTTTTTCCTGTACTGGAAGGAAGTTGTTACTGATTTGAGTGTTTAAATAATTAACATGGATTTTCAATCAAGATTAAAAGGCAAAGTTTTGTCTGGACAAACGAGGGAGGTTATAGCGAATGTAATCTTTTTTATGCAGCGAGAAGCGATACAAAATCAGCCTATTAAGGATTTAAAAAAAGTACAGGAGCGCGCTGCCCTAGCTACGGGAGTAAGCTTAAGCACTATAAAACGGATCTCTCGTGAAATGAAAAATGTGGAAGAAGGTGGTGCTACGTCATTTTCGACGCCTAACAACAAACGAATGAAATGTGCCCCAAAATCAAACTTGGATGATCTTGACAGAAGTCTACTTCGCCGTATAATAATCAATTTTTATGTCACCGAAAAACGAGTCCCTACCTTGCGACACATAACACACAAACTTAGAGAAAACAATATTTATACAGGGTCACATGAAACTTTGAGAAAAGTGATGAGGGATATGGGATTTCGATGGAGGAAAACGAAGAATAACAGGAAAATCCTAATGGAAAAACCGTATATACAAGCGCTTCGGAGAAGTTTTCTCAGGAATATTAAACATTATAGGGAAGAAAATCGGCCCATAATTTACATGGATGAGACTTATATTCATTCCTCTCATACCCATGCCAAAAACTGGGGAGACAGTACCATCGAAGGTTTCCACAAGCCAGTGTCCAAAGGGCCGAGGCTAATTATTGTTCATGCAGGCGGCGAAATGGGTTTCATAAACAACGCATGTTTACAATTCAAATCTGGTACTAAGTCCGGAGATTATCATAGCGAAATGAACTATAGTAATGATAAAAAGTGGATTCAGGAAAAACTTATTCCTAACATACCAGCCCGTAGTGTATTGATTATAGACAATGCACCGTATCACAATGTCCAACTACAAAAATGTCCCACAATGGGGTGTAGAAAAGATGAAATGAAGGAGTGGCTGAAACAGCGGAACATTCCATTTTCGGAAGACATGATAAAAGCAGAATTATATGGCATAATAAACATGCACAAACCTAGTTATAAAACCTATGAGATAGATCAGATCATGAATGATGCAGGTCACTCTGTCTTAAAACTACCACCCTACCATCCGGACTTAAATCCGATTGAATTAGTGTGGGCTGCTCTAAAACGATATGTGGCAGATAAAAATGTGGACTTTAAATTCCAAAATGTTGAGAAATATTGTGAAGATTTTTTCTCCAAATTTACCCAAGAGGAATGGAAAAAATATTGTGAACATGGTATTTCTTTCGAGCATTATTTCATGGAAAAGGAACCAGCTCTAGATTTAATTGTCGATGAAGTTATAATAAATTTGCAGGAAGATACTGACAATGACAGCGTGGATTCTCTGGAAAATAGCAGTTCCGAGACAGAAGATGAACCTCTTGAACGCCAATTGTAATCTCGTTTTTTGTGGTACGTAAAAAATTGAATTATCTCAAGTTTTTTGTGTAGTTAAGTTTTATTTTTTAACAAAGTAATTTGTTTATATTTGGAAGGAACTTTATTGTTATTCAATAACAAACTATCGAAATGTTTTCGTCATTACACTTTTTAAAAATACATACTTATCTTTGCCTACAACAAATATGTAATTTGACAAATAAGTTCGATTTCAGAGGTTTCTTTACAAATTAACACTCTCGCTGCCACTGATATTTGTGTCAGTTGACTTCCATATGTCACGAACAGTTTCAGATACTAATACCTACTTACGTTTTATCCTGAAAACACTTAAGAAAAACATGTTAGTTTTTATGGCACCATTTTCAATTATAAGCCAAAACTGGTACCAAACTTTGTTGCTTCTAGGCCATTAGAAACAATTATCCATAAGAAATATTAGCAGCGTGTATAGCAAGCCATATACACCGGCTAAAATATTGAGATGCCCGGTATATTGACAGCGATACACGTGGCGGCGCCGGCGAGAGTGTTACGATCACATTCTGCAAACTTGTTGCACGGAGTGTACCAACGAGGCGACGAGACACAGCGCATCATGTATCTCTTTTTCTCCGAATGCGTTCTCACTTAATTTTCTACGCAGACGGCAACATTTTCAAGTCTCTAGCTATATTTGACGAGTTGTACCTATATACAGGGCGACGCGGATTTGCGAGACCACATTTAAATCGCCAAGTTGTAAGAGTTTCTAGCTCATAATCTCTCAGCCACTGCATAGCGCCTTCTTCGTCTGTAAACTTTCCCCTGTATATATTGTTTTTTATTTTAATGCAACCTTCCATTGTTCTGCTCAACTCGAAACGTATTAAAAACGATGACGCTTGAACTTTGAGGTTATAATATCTAACGTAAACCGCGTAAACGATAAAGAACTTCCTTACGCATCGGCGACCTTCGACATCCCGAACTGTATTTCGGCAATCCTCAACATTCGAGTAGTGATTTCAGAACTCGATATATTAGTACAAGCATTTTAAATTGATAACATTCTGACACCGTTTTCAGCACTGTTTAACATTCCGGTAGTGATTTCGGCACCCGGCTTGTTATTGGTTGAATAAATTGAAATTCACCAATAAAATTAAGGCTGGTGCCGAATCCTATACCATAGTGTTAAAATGCTATCCGGCAGGGTTATTACGTAAAAAATCAATAATGTCGAAAAAAGCCGACAACATGTCAACTTTCTGACTAGATAGCTGCTAGTGTACAAATATTTCATTTCGACGTCACCCTAGCGTCATCTATGGGGGAATGACTCAACGTCATAACGGCATGCTTGTTGGTTGCATAATGCCGAGATAATCTGTCGAGAATGTATCTCTGAGAAAATGTGAAAGAAGACAGGATAGTTTTATAGCTGTAATCTTAGCTAAGCTGCAGCTTCCAAAGGAAGATTTTTGCCTAAATAATAATTAAATAAAATACTCGTGGGGTTGAAGCGTAAAATTATAACTATTTAAGAGGCAGATTGAAATGATATTCTATACAAAATTATGATCTGTATATTTAAGGTTTACGTATTGTGATGATCCAATTTTAGTACCTCACCGAAGAACTAGAGCTGAACATAGGCCCATTTTGGATATTTCCTACATATTTTGAAATGCGTAAAGGAGATAGTGCCGAGATACATTTGTTATATCAGCCAATTTCTCCAGGGCTTCATATAGAGAGGCTCTGTATGATATGCGATAATAATTCAGTACAGGAAATTGAGATTATCGGTGACTCTCTAGAATTTTCACAGAATATTATTAGAGTTGAGGTGGGTATGGATTTTATACAGCTCTTTTAAAAAAGCCTTATTATTTTTTGAACGGGAAAGTTAGCAAGCTGGGGGCGTGTTGGAAAGCACTATATATGTCGTTGCTTCAATATATTTTTCTACCTAGCATTACCACTCCTAGGGTCTTAAACTTAACAAATTGTTTATTAAACACTGTTGTTTATCGCTAAGTTCTGTTGAAAATGATACCTTGTTCTGAAATCTTTTTAATCTACACTTTAAATTTACTTATCTACTTATGTCAGAAACTTTAGATAAAAACCCGTAACTCTTTATGCTTATCTAATATAGGTAACTTGAATTATTTTTCAGGTTGATAGTGATTCTCACATTTGTCAAAAAAAACATTATTGTCTTTCATTGGGACATATCGAGAAGAAAGCTAGAAAAACTCTGCAAATCACTATACAAAACGAAAGGTGTGAAAAAAATTGTTATTTGTAGAGAAGAAGCGTTATTGTTGTTAATGGCAGCGATGGCCATGCCCATATCTAGTGTGGTTAGGGGGTCAAACTATCAAACGTAGATGGAAAAAATACATATTTTTACTGCATTTCAAAACCAATTAATTTTGTGACATACCATTTTCTACTAACATATTTCGTTGTAGTAACGTTGTATTGGAATTGGGTTATCTATTTTTCAACAAGCCCCAAGATAGGGTGCACGACATAAACAAGAACTGGATAGTAATGGAAGAAAAGGATGACGATTGGCATCTACTACCATATGCTACCACCGACTTAGATTTCGATATTGTCATGGATGCACAGGAAGTTGGGTATTATTCAATATTTTTCGAGTACGTATGAGTTAACCTAATACAAATAAGGGAAACCCGTACAAAGCGAGCTTCCAGTTTTACATCCAAATCATGACTTGGTTATCACCAAAAGGTACATGAACATGTTTGTTCAACTTTTTTACAGACGGCAATCAGTTCTGGAGAATCCGAAACTTATTTGGCTATAAAAACAACAAAATATATAGGTGTGTTCATAATTTAAAAAAATTATTTTTTTATTGTATGCGATTGAGATTATTCCAAGCAATTTAATTAAATTTATTTATTCAATTAAATTTTATAAAAATTTCTCTTCCAACGATCTTTTAATGTATCTAATTATTTTCTCAGTTGGACAAATGAGGGGAATTCAAGCGGAGGTTTTGCTGGAAATCAAAGAAATACCTAAATAAGACTGACTTCTGGAATAGCGGATAGGGAACAGTGGACAAAGTTTCCACACGAACCCTTATTTTTGTTGTTGATGAATTTAAAATTCGTATTTTGGTGCATGAATATGAAAAGAAAAGCAAATCATGGATCGTGGTCGGAAAATCTCAATTTCTTTGTGCAAAACTGAGAAATGATGAAAGCAGCGAGTGTAATGTATAATTGAAAGCGTCCGTGGTTTGTTTCGTTCAGTTTACAAGATATTTTTGTATCAACTTTAATTTTTAAGCATTTATTATGTGTTTTTTTGATTTTTGTCATATACGTTCATGGTAATTAAATCTAATTAATAAAATTATGGTTTATTTTTTGAAGGTGGATGGATAACAATAGTGTTTCCCTCAATTCTATATTAATCAAAATCCCATTAATAATAGTAGAAAAACTAAGACTTTCACTTTACCTCCTAATATTTAAAATACGTTAATTATAAACATTGAGTTAGGGTGTTCCATTTTTCAAAAGTTGTAATCCTCACATGACTTTGCTCGTCCACTGACTTTCAATGGTACATAAGATATCTAGGCCTTTCGTTAAGATTGGGCAATATTTAGAGGTTGCACAAGGTTACTATTACCTTAGCCTAGTAAGATTTCTAATATTGAAGTGCTTTTAGGATCTATCTAGGTACAGGATCTATCTCGCAGTAGCAAATATGTGATTTTTTGTGCTTTGATATACTCGGTATGTTAAAGCAGAATTTTTTGTTATATTTTGACTTTAATTTGTTGCTGATACTACCTGTGTGGAGTCAAAGCCGCCGGACCGCATTACAACGGAACGAATTGGCTACCCTTTCCGGAACATTTTCTAGAATGCTTTTATCACGCCCGCTCCACTTAGTTGCACCGGAATTAAAGTCGGTATAAATAAAGTAGTGATACTTTTAAAAAGTGATGCTTAATTGGCAGGCTACATGTTTCGCAGGCCCAAATTAGGGATTTTATTTCTCTTGGTGTATTTAAGCCGGTTCAAGCAGTATTCTGGTATTTTTTTGGATCGATTATATTACTGATAACCTGAAAACATGAAGAAGATAGGATTCTTGGACAACGCTTGTATCACGACAGTCCAGTTTTTTCTATAGGAACGAAACTCAGCATGGAGATATATTTATATTATATAGGGTGATATTGAATCATAAATCATTAAAGAACGTTTTCTATACTGTAAAGAAAAAGTATTTTAATGAAATGTATGTTTCGCAAAACGACAATGCATTCTCTATAAGATAGATCAGGTATTTGTTCGTAAATTGTTACAGAGTGTACTAATGTACTAATATGTAACAATTTTGGCGTTCGAAATTGTTTTACGCTTTCGGAAATAGAACAAAGTAATCCTCCTGGAACGTCGAAAGTGCAATTTTCTTCCCGTGCACCAAACCTTGGGAATAAGAGTGTTGTTACTTGTCATGCTCATGGTTCATCATTTGTTTTATTTATTTGTGTTTGCTCAAAATTTAGCAAAATATATATTCTTCTCGATAAATGGGATAACTCGTACCATAGCGTTTCTTATAGTAAATGCAATTCTCGCAAGGAACGTGGTTAGAAATTCGTCGACCATCATCAAGTGTCATTAAATGACCCTGCTTCTAGGTTTCCAGATTATCCCCCATTGCACTGAAAAAAGCGATGTTCGAACATTGAGACCCGGAAGACAAGCAGTCTGTCAAAATTTGGCACTCAATTTTTTCCATACAGTATACAGTATACAGAGTATATCATCTGCATTAAGATCAAATAATTTTCTAAGATAGTGTCCGTCTCTTGCTACAAAAGATTCCAGGTGAAATGAAGACGATTGAAGATACCTCAATCGGATCGCCATCTAGCTAAAAAAATAGCAAATGGAAGCCCGAAATAAATCTTCCGAAACATCTGCCATATCGATAAATTTCAAACAGCAACTCTCAGCGAGCTTAACTATGTAAAACATATTGTTGGAACAAATAATATGCTTTTTAAGTCAGTAATTGAGAGTAATTTACTGGCTCATGCAAACACATCATTACATATTTTTTCATTCACGATTTTAAGATTTGAATAATTGCAGCCTATTCGTCCGGAATGTACCGCTAAGTAGCTTAGTGGAAGATGTGGAAATGATAATATATAGAACAGCAGGTCCTGTAAGAACATTTAATCAAGTAAATGTATACAGTGTAATACTTCCGCTGTGATGAATGATTTTTAATGATTTCAGTGTGCGGATGTATTAGTAGCAGAAATGGAAATAGCTTGCTATGTAGATACGACAGAAGAAAAAATAGAACCTAGGTAAACAGCTAAACGATAACTAAAACATTTTTATCATTGTGGTCCCATAATTTTTTGACAAAAAGAAGCTATTATATCCTCTTTATAGTTGGAGAGTTTGATGGAGTTTCCGGACATATTTTGGTCAATAATTAAAAATGGAAAAAGAAATAGAAGTTGGAATATATAGCGAAAAACAAATTAAATATCAAGCCATCATTGTTTTTTACTTTCTCGTGTGGTATGTATCTCATATAATAGCTGTAAAACTTTTGCAACGCAAGTTATATTTGCAGATTTTTTTGGTGGAAAATTCCTTTTTTTACAATCAATGCTTTAGGGATACTTTGGTATTGTACTAACGTGCTCTTCAAGAATACATGTTTTAAGCTACAGACGCGTCTTTATCACGTTGTTTCCGAGAACTTTTCGTCTGTTGGACACTGTTATATAAGAATATGAAATAGAGAAGAGGGAATTTTTGGATTAAACACAGTTTCTTATCGTTGTTTTAGGCCCGGTTTTTAAATCGCAAGTTAATTGCAACTTGATTGCTAGTTTGTCCTAAAGCGATAGTTATTTTCTACAAGAGGAAAATGTATTGGATAGCTGTAACTTCATGGTAAAATTGCAATGTCTTACCTTATGTGCTTGACAGTGACATAAGTTGACATGAATGATACAAGAAAAATACCCCACATCACGAAACGCACTGAACACGATGTCAGTGTGTAAATATGTGTTGCAAGAGTTTGGTCTCATTATGTGTCACTCAGGAGAACTGTAAACAACAATCGTGTCATAGAAAAATATTATTCTTCTGTCAGATCTTCCTTCCATTTCTTTTTCCTCTGCATTAAATATCGGTCGTCAAGTGTCCGAAAACTTTTGAACGTAGTGTATATTTCGAGAACAATTCCGCACGTTGGCTTATAGATTTTCTACGTTCTTTTTAGTTGTGCGTGCGATCCCTGTGAACATCCGTGGCAACCTAACTTGACTATAGTACCCCGATATTTAAATTTTGGAATCTTACCTGTCGGCTTAAATGTAGAGAAAGAGTTTTACGTACAAAATTTGACTGATGAAACAATGGATTGGAAAGTATTTGAAGTTAGGTATAACATTGATCGAGTACCGTATTCAGAAATTTTACATCAGGGGAATTGCGACTTTAACTGTGGTCAGTTCACAAATATGTGGGAGCACGCAAAGATAATGTATAAAATAATTGACAAAGTGAGTATACTACTACATAAGGATGTCAGCATTTTTGATTGAACACTGAACGATAACGTTAGCGCCCGACTATCTTGTGTGTTGCTCTTGACTTTCTCGTCTACTACTGTTTTCCACATTTTTATAGTAAGGAAGACATTCCCGTCTGTCATTCAACTTATGAGGGTGTAAAATCGAAACAAAATTTCGTTTCCATGAACACTGTCTAGTTTCTGGTTAGTAAATAGAACAAGTCATTAATGGGCAAAGATATGACGAATATTGACCATATTACATCAGCAAAAACAAGAATGTCATCAGTCCCGAAATCTTGAAATAGCTTCTAGAGAGTATCCGGAACGGCGGTGGCTCAAAAAATAATGTTACAACAAACAACAGTACGGCCCTGATGTTTCTTGTCATTGAATGATTAATCTCAATAGCCTCCAGGAAACTGGGTTTCCATTCTGGTGCTAGCAACTTGCGAGAATGACAGAATCCATACAGTTGAAGGAATATGCATCGTTACTTACGAAGTAATTGAATATGACATAGTAGTCAAAACGGGGAGTTCAGCGAATCCAATCATATGCCCAATGAAACTAATGTATGTTGACATTCCCACACAGATAAAGTTTACTGTCGAAAACAGAAGTCCGATAACTGGTGAGAAAATAGATTTATGAAATTGCGACTTTATAATCAAGTTCTTTTTAAGCTTGCTTTTGTCTGAATAAACCATATGGCACCGACATTGACAAAATCTCATTGAAACTGTCCCCGCATTCGGCTATAATGAAGCCAAATGAGATTGTTGAGATAACTGCTATTATACAATCTTCAGAAGTAGGTAAGTAAACGTGTTAAGCTTGCCTATGGTTCACAGTATTACCGTGCACGCCCAAATACCAAAGCAAAATCTTAAAACAGGAAAATTCTATTCTTTTTGCATAGTTTTTTATTTTGACGAGAAAATTTCGCGATCCTAATTTTACAGTGTAAAAAATTTCAGCAACTGAATTCACATTAATAATATTAGTAAGGATGCAGTTGATGCATGATGCAAATGCCCAATTTATATGTATTTCGGACTAACCAGAAACTGAGCGCTTCCGTGTCGAACACCTTATGTCAAATTCCTGGGCTGTAGTCGGTAAAAGGATATTTTAAAGTTATTTCCCGGGATAAAAAGTAGCATATTTAAGACTATAATCTACATCTGTACCAAATTTCATCCAAATCCGTTCAGTCATTTTGGCGTGGACCGAGTAACAAACATCGACACTTTCTCATTTATAATATTAAGTAGGGAGTAAGATGGTAAGGATAATCAGGCGATTATTGCTTTTATTTCATGCGTATCTGTCGGTTTTCGATATAATGAGTTATATAATTTAGTCCATTTATAATTTAGTTTATTTGCGATATTAATTCGCTATATCTGTGTCATTACTCACTAGGTCATCATTTCTCTGTCTTATTGTAGTAATTTTATATTTTATTGATGAATTGCAACATCTTAGAAGAAAATTTTGTAGATAATCAAATTATTCCTTGAGATATTTTATTTTAGATACTTTGATTATTTTTGTCAGTCTGTTTTGGCAGGATTTAAATTCATCCAAAATATTCAAATCCTGGCTTTCATTACATTATTCCATTTTTTATAAATGGAGGTCATAAGTCCTAATGATATCTAAGTGTTTCTTTTTATTTCTTGCATGGAGTCATTTCTATTTTTGTACATTCAGAAATCTGGCTTTCAATACTCGATATAAAGGACCAAATCGTTTTTCAATATTAGGTTCGGTACATATTGTAATCCAATTTTCATTGAGCAAGTTGTTGTTTAGTCTTTCATAATCGATGTAAATTTTTGTATTATTCAGTGTAATATATAGGGTGTTCCGAAAATAGTGTGCAATATTCTACCAATAAGTGTTCAAATAAATTCCCATTTTGTTGGATACAGAGTCTCGCTCGACGAACTAATGATTGCGTAGCCCGAAAAGTGTAAAACCTATAGGTACTATGCGAAATCTTCTTTGATATTCTCTTACGGCTGCCAATGCCATTGCAAAACCCGTACACAAAATGCATGTCAGTCAGTTCTCTGTCTGTAAATCTTGGCATTTTAAATCAATTTAATAAAAATTTTGATTTTAATCTAGTAATTTTACACTGATTAACGTCAAAATAAGTCATAACGAATCAAAACAACTTTTGTTTGCAGTCATGGCTAACTATGTATAATCAACAATTCATTTAAATTCGCAGTACATTTCCTATCATGTGACAAATTTCTTAGTTTGATTTTATTCAAAAATGGCACAATTTATCGATATTCAATAAGAGTACCTTTTTTTATGTAGAAATTTTAGAAATTCTCAAATTCTAAAATTGAATTTTCAAAATAGAATCACACAAAAATTTTGGGTCTAAAATAACCTGAGTCAGTCCCTGTTACATACGCTTCCAAACAAAACTGTCTAAAATTGTTAATATTTTTAAATCCAGCATAAAAAACTAGGCTAGAATACCAAATTTTATGTCTTTATCTCAACACGTTTCGGGAATATTAAGGAAAAACCATCTTCAGGGGAGCCCCTTTAAAAGACTGTAGCGCCCTTAGGGGACGTTTGTCGACCTATGTTTATATAAACTTTTCTTCCTATTTTAAGATCTAGAAACCGCTGGTAGAATATTGCACACTTTTTTGGGACACCCTGTTTAATATCACTATACAACTGCCATTCTTTCGCTCTACTCTTGTAATTTCATTAATGGCTGACATTATATTTAGATAATCATCACGATATTGATTATTTAAATCTAATATGTTTATCTTCAATAAATTAGTTGATGTCAAATATTGTATTGCTCTCTAGATAATTATGCATTTCACTGGTGAATGATGCTATAGATAGTGACGGTGATTTGTATACACCAACGACTTGTATCCGTTTATTATTCTTAAGAAGAATAACTCGTTATTAGTTTTGAATTAGGTACATTTTTTATCCGTAGGTATATTTGAGAACACGTTCATCCCCTGTTTCTTCAGTTTAGCACAAAGTCCGATTGTCATAAGAGTGTTATGTGCAGTAGATACTCTGCACGTATTTTTCTATCTGCCTGAAGGCAGCAGCAGCAGCTTCAAAAAGGTGATATGGCCACCTAAAATTGTATATGAATATGGATGGAGCCTTGGATGTCCATGCGAAGCAGTAAGTTTTGATTATATGATATTCGAAAGAAAGTTCATATACCATCATCACCTCAATTCGGAGCGCTTTGTGTAAAAAATAGTAACAGAGCTGCAAAAGTTACACCATCGTTATAAAATAACTTCGGAAAATGTTTCTTTTTTAACATTAATAATGGTTTTCACTACTAAGGATTTTGTTTTAATCCACCTCAATTAAGTTCTTCTATCATTTCTTATTCGTTCTAGGAAAATTGCTTGGATTGTGCTTCAGAATATTTATCTAGCTCGTCAACATTGACCGACGTACGACAGTACCAACAATCATTTCCTTCCAATTATATGAAAGAGCATCTAGAGTATGATGGTTGTAACATATCCACCGAATCAAGTGTGAGCGAAATATCGGCAGGTGGTTCCTTAGTCGCTATTTTGAAAGAACAATTTGGAGAAGACTTCCTATTGCAGAGTAATAAAGTAGAAGTTAAAGTTACTGCCTCAAAACGTAAGTTCTTTGCAACAATAGAGAATCTTCGTGGTAACTTCATTATTACTCCAATAACTTCATTTGGACTGAGTTTGGAAATATGCATATTATAACATAACAGTTACGTTTGATATATTATCTACAAGTGATATTTGGTTAAAGACGAAGAAAAAAAGGATACCAGCATCCTTACTGATATGATCAATGCCTTTTTAAGAACATGTTGAAACTATAAATAACTGCAGAGTCAACGATTAGGAATAAATTGTGTGAAGAAAGATGTATTTAAATTTTACTTAGAGTTTTTGAAACATGGCTTTATACAGGGTGTTTCAGTTTATTGTTGCATAACTTTAAAGATTCGATAAAACTTTTAAATTAATGCATAAAGTCTATATGAACATGAATATTCCGAAATACTGGGTGTTTAAATTTGCTTTTTAAAATAGTTTTTTTTAAATATTTCGAACAATATTTGATGTATAATAGTGAAAATTGGTATACAAGTGTTTTTTGGTACGAAAAAACGAACCATGTAGCCGCTAGAGGGCGCTCTCAACTGTACCTGTAGTGTATTAAAATGACCGAAAAATGTTTCTTAGTGCAATTTTTTGCTTTTTGAATAAAAAAACTGAATCTTCGCACTTTTCTGCATAAAAAAAGTCTCCTGTGAGTTTCTGTTATAGTTAGCCGTTTTTGAGATATTTCGATTTTTAAGGTTCGATTCATTTTTAATTATTTATGGGAAAATAATATTTTTTTTTACATTTTCGATTTGGGCATTACAAGTAATTAAGATGATCGTTTAGGTTGTGCTTTTAAACACAGCAATAATTCCTAACTCCAAATAAACACAAAAAAACAGAATATTAATTTGTTTAATTTTCCAATATTATTTTTAACAAACTAAATTAATTATTTACAACTAAAATGCTATTGGATAGTTAGGACAAACATAGAAAACCTAAAGTAGTTGCTCGAAATGTTCAATTGTTCAATACACAATTCACATCTACGAATGATCGAACGTGGTATAGCATTACTCAAATAAGTCCTTATTTCATCACATGCATTCCTGATTCTGCCGATTAGCATATCTCTTGTGGTTACGGGAGTCTGGTACACTTTTTCTTTTAGAAATCTCCACACAAAGAAATCTAATGGATTTAGGTCAGGGGATCGTGGAGACCAGGCGACTGGTCCTCCACGGCCGATCCATCTTTCTGGATAATTTTCGTCCAGCCAGTTTCTAACTATTCTCGAATAATGAGCTGGACAACCATCAAGCTGGAACCAGGCCAATTTTCTAACATAACATCATCCCACATATTTGCATGTTCAGCCTTTAAAAATTCCAAGGTCGCAGCATTTAACCTTGCAGGCAAAAGGTAGGGTTCAAATAGTCGATTACGGTAGATACCAATCCACACTTTCACACTAAATTGATGCTGAAAATTTCTTTCCCGAACTGCATGCAGATTTTCATGCGACCAAATATGTTGATTATGAAAATTTACCACTCCACGTCTAGTGAAGCACGACTCATCGGTCCATAAAACGTTACTTAAAAACTCCCTATTATTATCAGTTCTATCAAGAATCCACTGACAGAATGCGATTCTTCATTCTCCGTCCCCTGGCTGTAGTCCTTGCACAGGTTGCAAATGGTAAGGACGTCTATGGTCATTTCTAAGAACACGGTGAACATGGCTTGCTGAAATTCCCAAGGCACCAGAAACTCTCCTAACACTTGTGGTCGGATCTCTAACAAACTCACGCAGAATCATACGGGTAAATTTGCGCTGACGAAAATTTATGTTTTGATCCCTGCGTTTCCATTTACAAAGCCATACACAAAATGAATATCCGCTAACTCTTGATTGGAGAATAAAAATGGCATTTTTATAAAACAAACAAAAAAAAAACGGGTAAAAGAAACTAAATTTCGTGCATTCACAATTGCAAAAAAAGTTTCAGGTTTCAACAGATAACAAAACTAATTGACGTTTAACCTTATTTTGCTTTCAATTTCAAAAATATTTGCAGGCACAGCCTACTTCTAAAAATTATCGAGATACTGACTTTTTAACGTTATTTTATCATAAATAATTAAAAATGCATCGAACCTTAAAAATCGAAATATCTCAAAAACGGATAACTATAACGAAACTTCACATGAGAGCTTTTTTATGTTGAAAAGTGCCAAGAATCAGTTTTGTTATTCAAAATGCAAAAAATTGCACTGAGAAAAAATTTTCGGTCATTTTAATACACTACAGGTACAGTAGAGACCGCCCTCTAGTGGCTACAATAAAACTATGCCCATGGTTCGTTTTGTCGTACCAAAAAACCCTTGTATACCAATGTACACTGTTATACATCAGATATTGTTCGAAATATTTAAAAAAAACTATTTTAAAAAGTAAATTTAAACACCCTGTATTTCGGAAGCCACGCATTTTTCGCCCCATGTTTATATAGATTTTATGCATTAATTTTAAAAGTTCTATCGAATCTTAAAGTTATGCAACAATAAACTGAAACACCCTGTATAACTACTACTGAATATATTTCAGGATTTTTTTCGAAGATGTCAGTGCATCTGCAACTCGATTCGACACATGTACTCGAATACAACCATTCTCATAAAGCGACGGTAACCCGACCAGTTGCTCAATGTTTATTGGCAATGGCGTCGCTAGTCGGTTTGGAGTTGAAGGATGTCATCGTTGAATGTGATTGAGACATTTCAGCTGACGTTTTGGTCGTGTATTCCAAAAATCATGATACTCATCAACTCAAAAATACCATTGGAAGTCCGTCGTCCGCCCGCTTCAGAACTTGGTAACTGCTCCTTGCAATTCCTCGTCCGTCTCGAACCGTTGAGCTTCTAGGAGCTCCTTCGATTTTGGAAACACTGTCAGGGCTGTAAGGGGGATGGGCAATGCTTCCCAGCCAAATCGCTCGATCGAGTCCTTCGTTTGTTGTGAGACATGAGGATGCGCATTGACGTGGCGCAGTCTTACGCTTTGAAGGGTTTTCCTCTACGACGATTTTGGATTGCCCGTCTCAGCTTCTTCGGAAGCGTCAAGAATTTCAAACGTTTGTTCCCGGATCGTGATTCGCCGATCTTCGAGCAAGATTTGTTCAGTCTTCTCCATAACCTCCTCGGAGATCGACGGCCTCCCGCTTCGTTGTACATCGTTAATACGGCCGTAAAGTAACTCTCTTCACTATTTGAGGACATGTTGAATGCCTTTACATGTTTCCCATTAACTTCATTCAACTGGCGATGAAGGTCTATGGGTGGTAACGTTCTTGCGATGAAGAGCTCCATTCCGCATGGCTGCCGAGCCGGTAATGAGCGTCGCCAATAGGCGCTTCTATTGGGATCAATGGTGGTGGAGCCTATAAACACGTCGGTGTTGCCAGATTTCGCCAAGCATCACGCGCGGCAAAGCGACAGACCTCGTATGTTAGTCCCTGTTGTAGGGCTCCTTACAAAAGATAAACAACTAATGGAGGAATGTTTGGAATTTCTCAAATGCTCCAAAACGCTGCTGAAAAACTCCACCTTTTGTCCAAAAGTCGACCACATTTATGGATTAAGTCATTGAAGAATAACCAAAATATGATAAAATTTTAGAAAAGGCAACATCTTGAAAAACAAAACTGGTGGAACTAAACGAGTAGAATCACCGGCTAAAAGTAAGATCTATAACTATTCTTCAATATGTAAACTGAGGTTGTTTGTAAAACCTGTTAGCTTGCACCTGACTAGCTTTTACGACACTACGCGGGAGATTTCACGATTTAGTTTCGAATGAAATTGTAGCATCAGCACGCAAGTTGTCTGTTTGTTATTAGATTGATGAATTTTGATGAATTTTTGCTAACCTTAGATTCCCTGCGCATGTGCAGTAGCTGGTAACACTCCGATCACTGCACTCTCAGTCAGTAGTCAAGTTTTGGGGTCATTTCTTTTCTCATTTCACCGATTCTCCTGGTATATAGGTTCAATAATAATTAGTTAAAAGTTCTTGTTCCATCACGTTTTTCTGCACTTTGAAGTGATTCAGTTGGAGCAGCGGTGTTGGTCAACTTCGTCGAGAGCTGCAGTTGATGCAACAACTGTGAGCAAATAGTATACGAGTAACCTTCAGAACTGTGCCTAGCACCGCTATCCCAAAAACGACGACATGAGATTTTGGTATCAAAATGACGAAAATATTGTATTACTAAATTTTAGCAACAAGTGTAGTGATCTACATAGAGAACATCACACCTATAGCTACTAAGTTTGCTATCGAAGCACAGAACTTTCCTGCAAAGAAAAACTACAACCCATCTTGGACAACACTGAAGTTTCAAAAAGCTAGTAAGTTCTGTGATTTAGTCGATTTTTGTGTCAGAACAGCCTGTCGGAGCTTCGGTACCTTATAATAATACATCACATAACTAGGTTGCGAAGTAAGCAGTTATTGGCCGAGCACTTTTTTACACTGAGGTGCGAGAGCAATATTAGCATTCTCAAGGGAGCTATGTATAGTTTTTTCTCTTCTAACTATATATAAATACTTTCGATTTTATAAGGTTTAAATGTTTTCATTATATGGTGTCACTTATCCTAACATTCACTTAAATAAGCGATTATGACGTGTGAAACCCATTTTGCAAAATACTTTCAACATTCATTCAATATCTAGTAGCCTGGTGTCGAATTCACAAACTCAAATGAGTGCAATAGAGTGCAGATTTGGCCTGCAGACTGGTTCATTTCAGTTTCAGAGAGCATTATTTATAAGCCGCTTTCCATTGCTTTCTGGATTATTTAAGCATTCAAGAATGATAGCTAAATGCCGAGCTATACTTGATATTAGTTATTTTTAACTTGTTTCCAAATATAGACTGGACAATTGAACATTTGGACTTTCTTTTAATGTGCAATGAAAAAGAAACTAAATAAAAATATTTAGATCCTCGGTTCTATTAGCAAGATTAAAGTTGGAACTTAACATTTAGGAATGAAACACAATGTCGTTCAAACGAAGGTACGGATCGCCCAACAGTACCTCAAGGGATTAATCCTATTTTCAAATACATTTTCAATTGTTTGGGCTTGAATATTTTTAATAGCAATTCCGAATGCATATTTCAAGGCCTAATTGTCAATGGTAAACATAATATTTATGCTTAAAACCACTCCTTACAGAGGTAGTCGAGCGGGTTCAAATCGCAGCTCCGAGCGATGTCAGATGTCAGAATTCTGGCTGATTATTCGGTTTTCAAGATCGGTGCCCAAAAGTTTGATAGCTCCGTTGTCTGTGTGGTAGGTGGCACCATCCTGTTCTAACAAATGAGAATAACACAATAAGGCTTGCTATCATTTGATGTTGCAGCTTCTTGTTCATTTTCAAAGAAAAATGTTCCAAAGAAGCTTTCGAACAAAAAACCGCACTGGTCATTTTGTTCGATACCCAAATGGGGTAATTTTGATGAAGCACGCCTTCAAGACGAAGATGAGCTTATATGACTCCATGATTTGTAGCCCTTTTCTTTAGAATAGAAATAACAAAGACTTCAGATTTCCATATCATGATTGTCATTAAATTTGTATTTAAAAAAAGGCCAAGCCAAGCATATGTTCATAGGTTTCACGTATTTATTAGCTATAGTCGAAATCACGAAAGATGACGATTACGTCATCATTTTAGTCTGTAGTAAAGACAAACCACAGCGATTTGTGAATATTTTTAATGAAGTTCCAGATATGTTAGACAGAGACAAACAGAATTTTATTGTCTAAACAAACTGTATTGCTAATTTACGTGATAGACGATATTTTCATGTTGCATGATCGATCATATTTGAATAGTTAGGTTATGTTAAAGCAGGTTAGGTTGTTTTCGAATAATACTTTATATAACTGTTTTTTTTAAACTCTCCACTAAAATTATGATTAAGGTATCACTCAAACCCATGAAAAAAAAATGAAAATAAAACTAATCAGTGAAATAACCTAACTTCGCAAAATCATAATATAAATTTGTTGTCATTATGTTCCTGGCATCGTGATTTCATTATCGACGTACGTCCATTGATTACTTCAGTACCATTTATGATATGACGCACTAGTCATCTTCCGTGATTTTGACTATAGACAATCATGTCGTATAAGCATGGAAGCTACAGGAAAAGTTTCAGGTGCTACATTGATGAAAGCAAGCATTATCTGAAAAGATGGTCTGCCCACGGAAATTGATTTTCAGCCAACTGGGAGAACCGAAATCTGATCAGAAGGTCCCATTTCGTGAATGCCCAAAATAAAACTTATTTTCTGACACGTCATAATTAAGGTTTCTTATTTCGATGTTAACATAATTGCCACTTCAAATTCCACTCTATATTTCGGATTATCAAGTTTAGTTGTCACAATAAATTTAACATTGACTGTCGGCATTGTAGTTGTATCTTCAGGCATTGTTGTTTTATGACAAATACCAACAAAAAGCAAATTCAAATATCAAGCAAATGACAAGCAAATTGTTATGCTGACAGTGGCAAGTGGTAAGAAGGAGGCGTATGTATGAAATTAATTCCAATAGTTTCACTGTGACACACCAAAAACCGTGAAAGGACCTACAGCTACTTTTCAGTGGGGCATGGTCAATAATGGTCTTTCTCCGGTTAATGCTTTCTAATACATACTTATTTATTTAAGAGTACATATGGAACAGCTTGATTGATACAGACCATGGAATTCTTGTGCAACCGGATATCGAACACAGCGATCTCAAAGGTTTTGGATGGATCAAATTAAATTTGTGGATTTATGCCAACACTTGGGGTATATATTTGGAAGAAATTATTGTCGATATTGAGGATACTCCAAGCTTCTCATTTGCATTACTTATTGATGTCACTGGAATCCCAATTGAATTTCCGATGGCCAAGAACGCGATAACTAAATATCCTACTGTCAGGTAAATAGATGGAACAGGTTAAAAAAAAGAGATGGCGGAGAAAGAATTTTCGTAGTTGCTATATTTTCAAGGTCGAAGGATGCGTTCCACTCCTCACGCCATGTGGCAATGAGGTATTCTAATAGCTAATAATTTCAAAACATGTACATCACTAAAAATCGTGTTACTTATTTCCGGCTGTATGTCTGTCTGCTGATGCTTGACTTCTCTATAACTTGGGAAGCGCCGCTGGGATTCTCACAACTCGATGATTATTTGGGAGTGGGAATGAGTACCAGGCGATCCGGGTTTTTTCTAATTTTACGCGGTGCCATCTTACGATTTTAATGACGGCTTCGTGCGATCTCGGCATGGTTGAGGTTGTTATCGCAAGATACTGTATATTATCGAAGAAAATTGCGAATGTTACGAATGATGATAAATATAAAAGTAATTTATACATATGTGGTTTCATTTGACCATTGCTAGATGGTGGGCTCTGTCGGTAGTGAATGTTGTCAAATATGTGTGGACATGGTATATCTTAATTTTTTGGCGTTGATTTATTTATACACCTCCAACCCCAGCAATTCTATGCACTTATTCGGCATATTTCACTCATCATACATGTCGGCGATCATTTACTCTTAAAACTTGTGTGTCCGCAGAGGACTAGGGGGAGGAACAAGTTCATTCAATTTTTTGTTATACTTGAACATACTTGGCTTATTACTATTCTATTCCTTTACGAACTGATAACCGCGTTGCCTGGGAAGTACAGAGTCAACTTATTTGACGCCATTTCTTTGCTCTTCAAAACGTTATTTTTATCAATTGTACAATATATCGCCATACACAATAAACCTATTCTACTATTGTTCAATAAAAATGGGACGCCTTAAAATAAGGAAAATTATTTAGGTTTGGATATCTTCCATATGGTTTCTCCGATGTGAATAGAAACATAGCAATGGTAAATACAAGCTGTATCCCTCTTCGCATCATTTGGCATGTTTTCATATCCACTGAAACTGATGGTAACGAAGATGTAATCCAAAAATTTAATCTGCTCTGTGACGTGGTAGATGGAAATATTGATTATGAACAATGCAAACTAGTTCTGACCAAAAGGGGCTATGGAAAGGAAACTACAGAATTTTTAAAAGTAAGAATCGTTTGTAATTCCATATCAATAATATTGCCGTTTACATCTCAATGATGTTTGAGCTTATTCATATTAAATGTACATACACAAAGGAGGATGGAAACAAATACATAGTTTCTGATGACCGAACCAGCTAAGAATTAATATTTTTAGGATATTGCTGCCACTAAATTATTTGCATGTATGGGATTTATTTCTACATTTACTCGTCATATTTTCATTTCTCTTTGCTACCTGATCAGAGTTGTTTTTAGCATTTATACGCACTATAGGGCCCAAGCAAATATTAAACTAGAAACCTGATTTCTTTGGTTTTTCTTACTACTTTATTGAATACTGTCGGTTCATCAAACAACGCAAAATATACATTTTACGGAACTTGTACTTTTTACGTACTGAGACTATTCTTTAAAATAATCTCCATTTTCTAAATGAAGCCCTATAATATATTTTCCTTCAGATTGACATTATATTTGACATAAAGTTACCCAGATACGCAAAAGGGGCTAGATGTACAAAAAGTGTATTTTAAATGACTCTGTCAAAGGGAAGTCTCAAATTTATGACATATCAGTGCCTTACTTGATAAAAAATTAATAATAAATTATAAATAATGCCCTCTTGAAATAAATTAAAATCTAACTAGCTGTTGAGGTTTCTATACATTTCATTTATTTCTGGAAACATATTGGACACACTGTATTTTGTTTTTCGACATATCTTCATAAGAAGTTTCTTACTTAGTATAAAAAATTACCTCCTCAGAATAATTTCAATGAATTCGGGAACTCTCTGTACATTGGAAAGGGATGTGAGTAAAAAACAATAGAATACAAAAATCAGAGGAAAACATCGGTGATTATCGAACTTTGATGTATTCTCAACTAATACGCCTTGTATACTCGACTGTTCCTGCTGCATGCGTCTCTTATAACGAACTAAAACACCTAAAATCCATTATATAGCGGACCACGAATTGCCACTTTTCACCTTAACAGATCCATGCGAAGAGATCTATATAACGGTATTATAATGAATCTGTAAGCCAGCGCGCGGGTGTCCTATTCAGAAACAGACCAAAGTGCAAAAAGTGGATATGGAGAACTGTTAAGAACTGTAGTAAGCATGGAAAATTGCTTAGAAGCAGAAGAATCTTGGATTTCTAACATTTTTTATTTTTTTACACCCAAACAGCCGCACAGGGCACCGCCGCTGGTATGAGGATCTCAAAGAAACTTTGTTATACCGATTTTTGAACTGCCCAAGCTTAGTATAGCTGGGAAAAGTCACCGCTTGTAGATTTTTTGAGTTTAAAATCTCGAGATTCTAGCCAAAAAGGAGCGCTCGTATCGGCCAGTTCTGAATGTACGAATTTCTATACTGTTAGGATGAGAAGTCGAAGTCAAGCGGGTCTGTCTGGCAGACACATCGCGCGGCGGCATCATGGAGGAGAGCTCTGAGGAGCAAAACCCGTTGGCGTAACGGTAGAAAAGAGCTAGATCGCCGACGCCCCGTCGGTGCGAAAGGGTCCCGACACTGTCCGTTAGAGAAGAGTCATCGTTCAGTCGGACATCATATGAACAGCATCGAGCATTGATAATGTAGTCGGGGTGGCAGCAACCCTCACATGTGGACAATACTCGAGGCTAGGTCACATCTGGGCCGTGTACAGAGTGAGGTCTTGTGGAGAAAAGTACTTTTTAGCCCTAAACAAATAGCATAGCTATTTTCCAACAGCTGCCGCTATTGACGAGATGGGTTCGTGCCACATTAAGTCCTCGGTGAAATGGACTCCGACTAGCCGAATTGAACGGCGAAACCGGTGAGCGCTAGGACTCTTTCTGTTCGTCAAGATACAGTGTGTTTGGGAAGGATTGTTGCGTCCCCAAGCAGTGATAACCTCCAGGTCTCTCGTCAGAGAGGAAGTCGCTGATAGTCTTCTTTTCTACAGCTTACCGGCTGAGATCGGCTTGTTACTTCTAAATTCCTGCGTGTAGAGTGCTGTCATTAACACAGCTGTGGATTGGATTGATTGTACAGGAAATGAGGTCGTTCATAAGGAAGAGGAACAGTGTTGGATCCAAGATCGATCCCAGGAGAACAGCCGTGTTAACGTTGCGGAATGCAGAGGAGAACCCTTTAATTACGATGGATATATTGCGACCAGAGAGAAGGCCCCCATTTGCAAAGCTTCTATGGGAGCCCATAGGATGGAAGTTTGCTACAGCTGACTGAATGCTTTCGTGACATCAAGCCAAGGCTATGAACCTCACCATAAGACTAATCAAGTCATGATGTTTGGTGTACACCTTACTTACAACAGAAAGAAGAGCTACAGGCCTGTAGTTGTATGGGTTGGTCTTAGGGCCGTATCGTCAGTCGTTCATATAATGGTAGGACGCCTTTATGGCCTCCTCGATTTTAATAGTTTTCTACTGTTCCGTGTCAGCGTTCTACTTTGATGTTATGTTACAAATAGCTATTTGAGTTATATTGTTAATGCTCTTGACTTTTATCATCTGTTACAGCAGCCTTTACTACAATTCAAAAAGAAATCATAGCCTTAGGAGAGTGCTGACGGTGACACGGAACAGTAGAAATCTAGAAATACCACAGCCTTTCTGAAGAACAGAAAATCAAGGAGGCCATAAAGGCGTCCTATAATTTTAGGAACGACTGACAATGCGGTCCTTAGATTCTTTTTTTTTGATGGACTTGACACTCAAAAATCTTCACGATAGCATATATAGAAACAATATATGAACGGAGTAATTGTTACCCTTTAATGACGAAAGGAGCCACTGTTGTCCACTACTGTAGACGACACTTACTGATTACGTTAAATTTGTCGTTTTTATAATTTGTAAGCGCAATAGTATAACATGTAATAAATACTGGTTTTTGATATTTTTTAGGTTGTTCCCGAAGAAATTAGAGTACAGCCTTATTCATCTGCTACTATTAAGCTTGAACTAAATTCAGAATACTTCGGTATCAAAGAGAAACCAGTTGACGTGACCTGCTTCATTATCGGAAGTATTCGTTTAGAAGAGGATTATAGGTGAACTTCTTATAGTATCTTATATTCTATCCACTGTATAAGAGCCTATCACACACTAAATCCCAGCCACTAGTCAACATTATATATGGCCTATTATCAACATTTTTGTCCATTATTCGCCGATGGTGTAAAGTCAATCTCGATAATATATGTTATGCGAATGCATTTGGCGCGCATCGTATCGCATGGTAGCAGATTCTCAGCACACCAAGCATAAGTATGATGGGAGCTGAAGAGGCGTGGGCTTCAGCCATAGGCAGTTCGAAATATAATTTAACGCTGTGTTGCGATGAATTGTGTTTTGCCCGGCATCCAACTGCTTAATTATATTATAGATACAACCATTGTAGTATGTCAACCTCTGGTTCGAAACAGAACAAGGGTATTTACTAATTTTGATGGAGCTTAGTTACAAAACTTCTATGCCCGGGTCCGAAAAAGAAGAGAGCAGCAGAACACCACTGCAAGGGCGGCGTCTCCTTGAAAACGGCGGGACGTCGCGCCAGCACAATACATAGCGTGCGATGTGTTCCGCTGCTCCCTTTCTTTTCGGATTCCGAGAATACGACGTATATGTATTCACCAGTATTGGCGGAGAAATAAGTAAGAAACTGAGAATGTAGGAATTAGTAGAATTTAGTTTTCTATGTTTTTCGAGTTGTTGATTATTTTAAGGCATAGTGAAAGGAGTATATTGGGGGCAACATTTAAAAAATCTTAAAAATTGGTATTTCTGGTTTCTGATCACTTCACTCCATAGCATGGCGCAAAGTAAATGGAATTTATGTTGCTCGAAAATCTTGAAATCAGACATTGCTAAATACGCTTATATATTACTTTCTGTCTAATCAAAACGTTAGTATTTTCTATAGAGATGTTTACCTTTTGGTACTCTCAAATGAGCCCCAGACAACTGTTTGGTAGGACTATCTCATTGTTCACATTTTTTTAAATATTGAATATTTATGTTTCAAACTGCCGTACAAAGTTTGCTAGTCTGTATAATATGTCTCAAACTTTGAGCCGATATGGCACCAGCATATTTCAAGTCTTTATTACTACTTCTACATGTTGGTAAAAATGTAGTGGTTAGGAGTTCATGCGGTGTGTAGCTTTTCTGATACAGTTTCCCTATGTGTGGAGTTGGCAGTTCGCTGTACGTTTCTTCGAGTATCTGTGAATAATTGTACCAATCTTCCGGTTCCAACCTTGAGTCATTCAACAGGTTGATATATGATTCCTCCAATCTCATTAAAAGCCATTTTTGCCCACTTGGCTCGAATTCGTTATTTGATAATGCTGTAGCTCCTAATGAATTATCGTCCATCTCCGATTTCTGAAACTGCAAGATAAAACGGACTGCGGACGTATAGTCTTCCGTGTAGCTTGATGACAAAACTTTGGACATCACAAACACGACGTCCTGAATGACGACTTGCTTGACAAGCAATCGGTACGACCAATTCGGCAGAGAAGTATCTGCAATATTACCAAATTTAGTGAAACTAAAACTAAAATAATTATTCTTTAAAAAAATTAACAGGGTGGTATTTATGCAATTTTTGGAATTCACTATATTAATGGCCGTATCGTCAGTCGTTCCTACAATTGTAGGACGCCTTTATGGTTTCCTCCATTGTCATAGTTCTTTCTTCCTTTCTCTCCTTCAAAAATAACTAGATTGCACCTCTTCCGTGTCAGCGTCAGCGCTCTCCTATTGTGAAGTTATGTTTTCTTTTTAAATTGTAGGAAATTTCAGTCTGATTAAACATGATATAAATCAAAAGCATGAACAATTTGATGCAGATAGATATTTGTGACATAACCTCAAAATAGAGCGCTGACACGGAGAAGTAGAAACCTGTAATGCGGTGAGCGACAAGCCCGCGCGACCGATGCTATGCGAAACAACCACTTTAGCCTAAAAACAGAGTTTTGTGAGGGTAAATCTTCTTCCTAACACAATTTTGAATATTCTGTACAGTGAACAACTCATTTGCTATGCAAATTACGAACCCCCGTTACAGAATAGGTAACCCAGCAGCTCCACACAGGGAAAATCCCTGTGCAATTTTCAGCCTCCGACAAAGAAGCGATCGGCTACGAAAAGTCGCGGGCACCGCCGTTTACAGCATCAGCGGCGGTAAATCCACGCGTATTCCATACAGGTTCGGACGTATCGGTTCTTTCCAACAATGAATTTCCGATAATGATACTCAGAAGACCATATCATAGCGTTTATTTTATTCTTATATTTATAAAACAGTAGAAATAACAACTATAGCATAAGTTTCTTGCTGCTGAGTTAAACAACCCAAAAAAGTTAACTTATTGATTAATTCAATGCAAATGTGTACCGAGCCAAGCTGAATGAAATTCAGTTGAGTTGTACAACACATCAGCTGGACGTAAAATATTACTGAACAACCAACAACAATTTACTGTGACCCACCAAAAGTCGTGAATACACCCATACACATGCTAAGCTTATAACACCCCTCCTTTTTGTGTCGAGGGCTGAAAAGCCCCTTTTCACTATGTTTTAACCTCATCAGTTTACATGATGTATATTCTTGTGTCTGTAGTAACATGAACTGAAAATGTGTATACCCTTAGGAAAAAGCTGAGCTACTACTACCGCAAACTTGGATCAGGCACAAGCTTTGTTAGACTTCAAGTATTAGCAAATCTTGAGCTACCATTACTGGCTACACACTTCCAACCAGACGAGACAAGTATTGATATGTATGCGAACGAAGTTATTTTTGAACAAAAATACTATCACTCAATTGATATGATGTTTAGAAACAAAAACTTGGCTACCTGTGATATAGACATCACGATAGACGAACCATTTTATTTTTATCTTCCACAATCACGCAAGAATACAGAGAAACGTAGGACCCGAAAATGTACTGTTGGTTCCCTGGATCAATTAAAGGTATTTCAGAAGTAATTATTATTATAGAGGCAAAGTCTGACGCCGAACCTAGGAGCAGCTGATCAGATCACGGAGTGACGACATTTCTGATCTGAAACAATTTTACGAGACGCGCTTTGACTGTGTCTCTTTCCGCAATGATTAAACTCTGGTACTAAAACGAAAGAGAGCATAATAACACATGGTATACCACTGCTAACGCAGCACTGGCAGCGGTGTACTATATGTTTCGCTATCCTCTTCCGTTTTGGTACCATGGAATGAAGCGCCGTTAGGACTGATCCTAAACGTATTCGACACAATTCATAATTCAAAAAGGTGTACGCTCAAAATAAAACCATTATTTTGGTGAAGAGAAAAAACTAAGGCATGTTTTCAATATACGTCTTAGGCCCGTATCGTCAGTCGTCCCTACAATTGTAGGGCGCCTTTATGGCCTCCTTGATTGTTATAGTTTTCTACTTCTCCGTGTCAGAACACTATTTTGAGGTTATGTCACAAACATCTATTTGCATCAAATTGTGCTTGCTTTTGAGTTATATCATGTTTTATCAGCCTGAAATTTCCTACAATTTAAAAAGAAAATATATCTTCATAATTGGAGAGCGCTGACGCTGACACGGGACAAGTGTAATCTAGAAATTTTTGAAGGAGAGAAAGGAGTATGACAATCAAGGAGGCCATAAACGCGCCCTACAATTGTAGCGACGACTGACGATACGGGCCTTAATTCAAGGAACTGGCTTCGCTATCCAGCCGGCTTCTATAGTATCTCTTTCTAACATATGTGTGGATACACACTTCTCTCTCTACATTGAACTCAAGCCGTCAGACAAATTTGGTTTTCAATATATAGGGTGTCCCAGAAACTAACTGAAGTTTAGCACTCGCTACTATTGGACTTGATTAGTCAGTTAGCGTTTGTGAACACAATACAGAAATTTATAAATTTTGCCCTAGAAAAAAAAACAGTAGGTAGGTACAAAAGAAACGACACTGAACGAAAATAATTTTAAATTATAATATATGCTAAGATACGAGTATATAAAAATGGTAAAGTTAGGTGGCTTGTGAATATACAATTTAATATTCTTATGGAAAGTTGACAATTAATATCACTTATACCGTTCATTTATTGAATTATACTTGATAGCTACATTGTATGTACAAGAAACCTCATTTGAATAATGTTGCGTTGTGCTGTGGAATTCTCATAAATTTATGTCAAAAAGGTTTAGTATGGACATCCTCAGTAAACATATTTTTTCTCTCAGGTACAAAGTTTTTGACGTGTGCAGCAATCTATGAGTGAAAACTGAATGATGGTTGTTTATAAGATCCTCGAATATCATCCACTTCAGTATTTGCAAATTGTCTAGGGCATGGTCAAATTTTCGTAGTGCAAAAATGAACCGTACACCAATATTGAATAATGTTTTGGTAAAGTAACCTAAACACGGAAAATACCTGATATCACAGTAAATCAGGACAGATATGAGCTCCGGCATAGTTTTTTAAAATTCAGTATATAGTAGTAGTAGTAGAAAGATTTATTTAGCACATTTGGCTACATAAACAGAATAATTGTAAACAACTTAGAATTATTAAATTCAAGCCATATGATGTATGATGCGAATGCTGGGCAACCTGTAATTGTAGATTTAACAAGTGATTCCTCAATTTTACTTTAAATTTTGTCAAAGTTTTCTGGTCTTTTATCTCTGTGTATAATTTATTATACTCAGTCAACCCTTGATGGAATACAGATTTGTAGCATATGTTATATTTTTTGATCATTAAATGGAAGTCATCTGTATTTCTGGTATTATGTAAATGATGGTCGACATTTGATGATGTTAAATTAGTTAGACTTGATGGAAATATATTATTTTTTACTTTATAAATGAATATCATGACAAGATATTTGATAAAAAATTTTACATTGAGCTATTTTAATTTGCTAAGCATTTGTCTAATTGGAGTATATTTATTCTTATTTAGTATTATTCTCATGCACTTATTTTGTAAAATTTGCAGTCTTTCAAACATGGAATCATTTGCTAAATATAGAATAGTCGAACAGTACAAGAAATTTGGAAGAATGATGGTATTATAGATAATTTTTCTGCTATACGAACTCAGACATCCAGAAACTCTTGATAAATAACCCACTTTTCTACTAATCTTATTTATAACTTTTTCATAATGAATATCAAAAGTTAATCGAGAGTCAACAAAAACCCCCAGATATTTAAAATTTTCTATGAATTCAATATCTTCACCATCAATATTCTGTTGAACATTTATACATTGTTTTTTCCCGATTTAACATAGCTTTCGTTTTACTTGTATTTAATTTTAGTCAGTTAGATGCTTACCATTTTGAGACAAGTTTCAAGTCTTCATTTATATAAGAGATACCAGTCTGAATATTTTTAGTACTTATATAAATCATAGTGTTATCGGCGCAAATCTGCATTTTGCATTTTTTGACTATGGCAGGTAAATCATTTATGTATAAAATAAAAAGAAGTGGTCCCAGGATACTGCCCTGTGGAACACCCAACGTATTTTCAAGTTTTGATGAAATAGTGTCATTAACTTTTGTAACCTGCATCCTTTTAGACAAATAATTTCTAAACCAATCTAAAACACTTCCTGATATACCATATAGAACACAAAAGATAATAGTTTGGTCTCACTTCAGTTAAAATCAGTTTGACGCATACCTATGTAATCTGGCAAAAGGCTGGATACATTATGATTGAATAAGACAAAAAAACGTAGGTTTTTGACTAAATTAATGGACATAAATAAAACAAACTATTCAAAGCCCAGGTAAGAGTATTGCTCACACGTTTGGGGTGCTGCCGCCGGGATTCCATTATTCATGTTCGATGCTGTGACAGGAGGGCTGTCCGACTGATCGATGACTCTTCTCTAACAGACAGTATCGGGACCCTTTCGCACCGGCGGGCCGTCGGCGATCTAGCTCTCTTCTACTGCTACACCAACGAGCTTTGCTCCTCAGAGTTCTCCTCCAAGATGCCGCCACGCGACGTGCCTGCCAGACAGTCCCACCTGACTTCGGCCTCCCATCCTATCCGTGTTGAACTTCGTACATCTAGAACTAGCCGATACGACCGCCCCTTTATCCCGAGACCGTCGATATTGTGGAACAATCTACAAGAGGAGGCTTTTTCCAGTTCTACTTACCTTAGGCAGTTCAAAAATCGGATCAACAAAGTTTCATTGGGATCCTCATAGCACCCGCGGTGTTCTGGCATTTAAGATTCTGCCTGCGCGGCTACTTCGGTGTAAAAAAAATATACCGGAAATCAGAAAAAAGCAACCACACTCAGTAAAATATACATTTGAAAACATATTCATAACTTTATTCATAGCATTTTGAGACACAAAAAAAATATTGAATGAAAAACTGTATTATGACTCTACAACTCTTACACATATAACTTTTTTCCTAGAATAACATATACAAATGTTGGATGGGTCATCAATTAATAGGACCTTCTCCAGAAATGGATAGGGAGGTTTGCTGTGCCGTCGCAGTGAACTTACGTTGATAAAGGCAGCATTATCCATTATTTTTGCTGACTAATCACTAAAACTCCGGACGTTGAACTAATGATAATACATAATAACAATTTATTCACATCAATTACATATTGTGAACAAATGCATATGCCACAAAAGGAAAATATCATTGTATGTGGATATAATGCTAACACAACATACATAATATAACATAACAGTTATAATAAACTGATAGGACTAAATGAAAAAAATCTATATGTGTTTGTACATTAATTATGGATCGTAGGCTAATGATAAAAAACTCTTTGGAACATAAAGACAATCAATGGAAGGGCATCAAATACATATATTGCACGTTGGCGACTCTGCCGTATGTTTTTATACCATTTTTAAACTGCTCTACTTAGCAATCGGGAATCCGGATCCCGAAATTTTTGGGAAAAGTGCCCAAATCCTCATTCCGAAATCGAACCAGAAAACCTTATATCTGCAGCTGTCACTATTGCTAAGTTTTAAGCAACTGGTTTTCGTCAGAGGCTTGATTATAACTGATTCTTATTTCTGTATAGAAGTTATCATGACACTGCCGAATTTATCATATTGGATTATATGACGGCAAGGCGGCATCGAAATTAATTTCAATAGTTCAAATTTAGTTAGAATCAGGCCCTGGTATCTTGATTACGGTAATTTTGCACTCTGACCAGTAACACAGGTTTAACGGCGCGTCGGACCTTGACTACATCATAACATACTGATAGGTATCGTAACTGCTTCACACAATGCTTACACTAATGTTTAGGCGTCATTTTTGAGCTTGCTGAGTTAATATTAAGAAAGAACGAATAATTACATTTTGCAAATATTTCTCTTTCAGGTCACTGTTATGTGTTACGTGGACCACCAAAAAATTTTGGACTTGGCTAATTTTGTTTACCCTAAAGCTGCTCAGAAACAAACTGAAACTGGCGACGTAAATCATGATGATATGAGTCTTGTAGATTGTATCGATAAAGACAATAAAGTTATTAATCTCTGTAAGAACCTCAAGATATATCAGAATGATAATCTCACTGAGGTATGACTTTTTGCATTGTTCTACAAGGTATTATACTTGAACCCCATTTTTACATATAATCCGTTTTTGAGATAAAAGACATTTTTACTATGTGTCTATTTTATAACAAGAACTACGTAATTAAAACTAGAATTCACATCTTATATGTATTTGAATTGTAAACCTAAACCACAATCCTAACCATCTCAACAGCTCAAACCCAAACCAAAACCCAAACGGTCTGGGTTTTGCTTAAGCTTAAATACGGGAAACTGACATGAACCACTATGACAAAACGCCTTTTCATAGTTAGAAGTACTTTTCACTGATATTGATTTTTAAGCAGCAGTTAATCCTAGTTCTGGCAATGGCTTTTAGTGAAAACTAGTTTCAACTTGGGAAGAAACGTTAACATATACATATATTACTACTGTTTTCAATTTTACATATTGTTAACTATATCAATCTCGAAAACTTTTTTCACATTTTTCACGATAAAAACCTGAGAATACTTACATTATAGGGACAATTTTTTTATCTATTTAACACACGTTAATTTTTAGATGGTTGGTGTGCATTTGTGTATCCATTATCCACACATTGATGTTAAACCTACAGTATGTCAGCTTGGAAATGTTGTGTTGGGCACCACCAAAAAATCCATGGTAACAGTATTCAATCTAACAGGTATACAAACTCGCTTTTAAACTCAGAGCATGGATTTATTTCTGTTGACCATCAGTCTTACATTTTATCAAGAAAGTATGTAAAAACAATGTAAATATGATATAATCGGTATTTGCAAATTGCATATGAGCGATTTGAAATATAATATAAATGTTTAACTGTTTTGGTTATGAAAAGTTAAAGCCTGCCTTTAAGGATTTTTGGATACAGAAAGGAGCTCTCAATAATACAGGGTCTGTCAGAAAGAACGCATAATTTTTAAATGAGTAGTACAATTAAAACAAGCATGGGAAAAATATTTTATTATATCAAAATACTCAGAAATACATGCCATTTTTTTGAGTAAAACATAATTTACGTTCTAAAAACTATGTCGGCCATATGGCGCCCTTGAGCCGAAATGCAGGAATCAAGCCTCTCCCGAAATGAGCCAGCATCCGTGCAGGAATTTGGGTTACACGTTAACGGGTCCGGGGAGCGAGGAGGCCATGGAATATCGCCATGCCGTGAAAAGAGACGTCCTGGGAATTTTTGCCAGAAGTTCCATCGAAGTGCGAGCTGTGTGAGATGTTGCCCCGTCTTGTTGGAACCACACTGTTCTGAGACGGACACGTCGACGTCGAAGTTCCGGTAAAAAAAAGCTGTTCAGCATGTGGATGTAACGCTCTGAATTCACAGTAGTTGTTTCTCCATCATCCTCAAAAAAATAAAGGCCAATAATCATCGATGGGCCTACTGCACACCAAACTGTAACTTTCGGGGTATGCAGGGGGTGCTCGTGCAACTGTTGAGGCTTCACTGGAGACCAATATCGGCAATTTTGTTTATTGACGAATACATGTAAATGAAAATGTGCTTCATCACTCATAAACAACGTCATGCCATTGCAATCCAACTGTTCAATCATGAGCTGTGCAAAATTAACACGTTGTGCATAATCCCCTGGCAACAGTTGTTGACAAACTTGAATCTTCTAAGGATGAAACACTAAATCCTTCTTCAAGATGCGATGTGCAGACGCGTGGATCCCTAGGGAACTGGCACGCAAACGGACGGAACGATTCGGACTTCGCAGCGTGTCAACTCTCACTCTGTCTACGTTTTCGGGGGTTCTAACAGTACGGTTTCACCCTGGCGGTCTTTTCTTCATCACATTACCTGTTGTGTTGACTGCTTCCACCCATCTCAAAATGGTGTTACGGTCTGGTACTGTCCCTCGACGTGGCACACGAAAGTGAACGCGAAACTCACGTTGCGTTCGAACGACAGACTCGCCATTTTGAAAGTATCGACGTACAGTGAACACACAATGATCAACGTTCCAAACCATCTTGCCAACTGAAACGGCATTTCTCCCACTATCCAACACGCCCTTCCCCACCGACACGGGACCAGTCCACTCGATGTAGTACCCTTTCGAAAAACATGCGTTCTTTCTGACGGACCCTGTATAATTCAGAAAGTAACATACCGAATGTGGTAATATTTTGACACTGAGAATAAGGAAGATCAAGTTTAGTTTTAAGGTGGGCTAAAACTTGAAATGGGGTGACAACTAGGTTTAGCCGGTTAGAACTAGGTGTAACCACTGGCAGTTGGTTAGTCGTAGATGTAACCTATACATTCGTGGCCAATCCTAGTATTACGAGGGATGTCTTTTAAGTTTTGCATATGGCAATAAAATAACACGGTAGGTAGTTTTAAATGAATTTATTAATACACATCTGCACGCGCTCGAACCAATTTTCGAAGCACTTATTCCACTCGTTTGCTGGCAGATCCAAAACAGCATTTTTGAATGCGTCAACTGCTTCTTCTGGTGACTGGAACCTTTGACCACGCAGTATGTTTTTAATTTTCGGGAACGCAAAGAAATCGTTAGGACTTAGATCGGGACTATATGGGGGATGGTCCAATTATTCCACGTTTTCTTCCGTTAAATACTGTTTTATTTTTTGGGCTGTGTGCGAGTTTGCATTGTCTTGGTGGAGGATGATTCTTCTTTCGGGGTTGATTTTTCGAAGCTCGGTGATGGCTTTTGGCAAACAAATGGTGGTATACCAATCCGCAGTAACAGTTCTTTGCTCATTAAGAGGAATCATTGTAATGTGACCCGCTTTTGACACAAATGTCGCGACCATCTTTTTCGAAACACTTCGAGAACGGATGGCTTTTGTTGGCTTTTCTTCACCTTGGAACACGCAAACAGCCGACTGTCGTTTATTTTCTGGTTCATAACAGTAAATCCACGATTCATCACCACTAACAATGCTGTACACATTTTTTGAGAGTCCGGAATTGAAACGGTCAAGCGTTTTTTGACACCAATCAACCCTGGCTGCTTTCTGCTCTTCAGTCAACAGGTGGAGTATCCAACGAGAAACTAATTTTCTTACTCCTAATTCTCCATGTAAAATTTTTTGAATTGAGATCTTTGAGATCTTCAAGGACGCCTCAACCTCGCGACATGTCACATGTCTATCTTCAATGATGAGTTTGCGCACAGCATCGAGGTTTTCCTGGGTGACTGCCGTTTTTGGTGCACCCACCCTGGGATCATCGCTAAGACTCACCCGTCCACGTTTGAATACTTCATACCAACGGGAAATTTATTGTCGACTGATGTGGCGCTTCGTTGCCGAAAACAGGCAGTAACTCAGCAAGGCATTCTTGTTGCGATAATTGTCTCCGAATGCTGTAATAAATTATGGCGCGAAAATGTCCTCGGTTGAGTTCCATTTTTCTAATGACTTGGTGACACTTAAAAATTCAGTGTAGTGAGAACACTGCACGTATTGTTGTGAAACTTTGAATTTAAGTTTACTAAAGAGTGAGGTTATGATTCAGTACTGACGTTCGATCCGCGCGGCCTGCTATGTTTCTATATATGCAAAACTTAAAAGACATCCCTGGTAGCCGGTATCATTCGGTTAAAACTAGGTCCAACCAACTTGATCTGGCTACACCTAGGTTTAGCCAATCCTTAGTGGTTGAAACTGGATGTAAACATTACGAGCAGGTGTAGACGGGTATTCTTAATGAGGAGGATCTGGAGAAAATTTGTGAACAGTTGAAAAATAACAGTAGCGAGGTAAATAAGTCAGAAATCGAATCCCATGAAAATGAAATTACAGAAAAAGCAGTTTGCCAGCTTTAAGACCAGAAGGCAGGTGAAAAGTGTAACTTGTGCAAAAAGAAACAGAAAATAGATAATAGTAGGAAGGGTGTGGCAGTTTATTTAGTATTACAGACTAATAAAATAAAAAGTTTTCTCCTTGCAAGAAAGGTGATACCGTCCGTGTCTAAATTCCTGACGTTGATAGAGGTAGAGCAGACTTCCCAAATGTTTTAATGGTGGTACTTGAATGTACTGAGGATGGTGTGGCATAGTGCCCGAATTTTTTTCAACTCAGCATGTGCGAATCAAAATATCAGGACCTTGAAAATGTTTTACCCGAAAACAAATGACTCCACCAAATAGCCAATGCCCAATCTTCATCTGGTGGATGCCACTGTGACACCAAGTGTGGAAGTACAAAGTGTCTTTGTCAAGCTGCTGGTATTTTGTGTAACTCTAAATGTCATTCAAGTTTAAGTTGTTCAAATGAGTATAGTATAACCCATCGTCCCAGTTTTTTTCATATCATTGGATGTTAACAATCTACTTTTTTTCATAGATTACTTGGTCTAATGAATGTTTCAATCATTTGTGTTAATTAAATTCTTATACCCGCACGAAATATTTAAAAACTGTAAAATTCAGATTTTTTTTAAATTATTACATTGTTTATACCCGCATGAAATATTTGAAATTATAAAGTTCAGCTACAGTTACAAATGAAAATTATGTATTTAATTTTTATATCTACATCAAATATTTATAAACTTTAAAGCTCATCAGTTACAGCTATGAAAAAAAATGTTGTTACTAGAATATTTTTTTTTATTATTGCGGTTACCTTCCTGTGATGAAAATGCCAATGTATGGCTAAGTTATGTTAAAGAAATTTATTGCTGAAATAAATAATATAAAAATAATGACATTATATTTTCTTTAAAAATACCCGTCTACACCTGCTTGTAATGTTTACATCCAGTTTTAACTACTAAGGATTGGCTGGCCTAGGTATAGCCGGGATCAAGTTGGTTGGACTTGGTTTTAACCGAATGCAACCGGCCAGTGGCGACACGTGACTTTTCATAAACTGTTACCAAAACCAGATGAGAAAAATCTTATTAAAAAAGGTTTAGTTTGATCCTCCCATGTAAAAGTTTTTGCTTATTTTAGGTATTGTATTTAAACTTTTTTTAAATTAAGGCAAACATTGCTGGACTGGGCGTCTGCGGCACTTGATATACCTCATCGTCTTATGCTATGACTAATCCAAGCCTTCCGAAAAACAGTAGACGTTTCTAGATGTTCGGATTTTTTTTAATCTTTTTTGGCAATTAATGTTAACAATTCCCAGTAATTTCCTGTATTGTCAGTCATCCCCATCAAAATGACCCCGAAATGGTAATTCTTGTTTGGCCAAAAAACATACAGCATCTATAAGTATGCTGCCTAAAATCTTGGTTAAGACAACTTTCGATTCTTGTTTTGCCAAACTGAATCAAATTGGCTACACATCTCACATGTAAAGGAGAAATTTCATGTCTCCTCTTCAGAACCCTAAAACTATTTAAATCGTTGCTGGTCCACCCATTTTTTTGTAGAAAACTGAAGACATGGCCAACAATACAATCTGTTTTTCTTACAACCACATAACCAAGAGTGTTCAATATACCAACTAAATTTAAAATATCGAACTATTTCAACTATTTTTATTCCTTTTTAAAATTATCCAAAATAAGTTGGTATTCCATTTTCAATAATCTCCTTTTTTTCTTCAAGATTATACAAGGAGAATGACTTTTTAAGTAGTTAATCGATTACGCAGCGACACTCAGCCAAGTTTTTTTACGATTACCTACATTACTTTCCTGGACTACTGACTTGACTACTAATTTTGAGAGAGACGTACGCCAAAAATTTGAAAAAATCATGTAGCTTATAAACGACGAATTTTATACCAGGGTATATAAATTTGCGGTATAGCAAAAATTGATCATATACCTACATATCTCAAGTGTTGCTTCAAACGACTACATTATTACTTAAAAAAGCATCTCGTGCAATATTTGCATGAAGGTTTCAAAAAAAGTAATCGTAGTAGTTTTCCATGACATTGAAATCCAAATAAAAAGAAAAATATCTAGCATAGTAAAGTGATTTGTGGAACTTCCACCAACTTTTTTTTTGAAGCTGTCCCCTTCTGTTTTAAGTTGGTTACGCGTTTGGTTGTTGGTGGACAACATCATTGTGGCCTCATTAGTTGTTCTGTTGTCAAAATTTCGTCCGGATTTTTGGGATCCGGATTATCCACTGTTGTGTCTCCAAAACACAGCGGTATTATAGGCAAATGACCAAATAGCCTTGGAATAGTCTAAATAAGAAATCGCTCTTCAAGCATTGGCTCCATGTTTTAGAAATACCCATTATAGGGAGAACAGCATCAGCTTGATTAATTTCTTGCGGAGAAAGAGAATAAATACGTACAACTGCTCATCCTTTTTTGTAGGTTACGCTGTATCTTTTGAAATAACTAAGGCGAAGACTGCTAAAGAATTTTACTTCACTCCTCATTATGGTAGAATAGAAGGAAGCACTGGTGTCAATTACAAATGCGTAGACGTGTTCGTGTATTTCACTCCAAGGTTATCTATTTTTTACTTCTACTTGTGAGATACATATTTGTAGAGTCACTTGGGCATTGAGACGGTGTCTATACATATGTAGAGATATAATATGCTTACCACTCAATAACAGCGCCAGATTCATTATCATGAACAGGGAAATTTCGATATATTTATTGATTGCATAACAATGAAATTTGTATTTTATAGCGATTGTAGAAGTTATGCGGAGTCATTCCGAATAACCACGGATATACCGAATTACTTCATCGAAATTCCATTGAAAGCCATTGGAACAGTTAATGAAAAGGATGATATTGAATATAAGATATGAACTTTCATTAACGGTGTACAATAAAACTTTATGAAAATACCGTGTAATTATTGCAATACAATGCAGACCTAGTGACGGTTATAGATGGCAGTTTGTGGATGTATGGTATTATCTATACTCGGATACCAAAACGGAAGACACTGCTAACGGGCAGTGTCTTTAGGCTGACTGAGTCAGAGCGTGCGGACCTAGCCGTATTCAAGTACTTACCGCGTTAGGAGTAGTCTATCATACGTTTTGTTATACTCTTCCGTTTTGGTATCAAATTACAAGTACATAGGAGAAAGAGCGTACGTTGAATAGACAGCATTCAAAAAAATTACCGAATTTGTGATTCTTTAAAAACTGTCCGACCTTTGTGCCGGACCGTGTATATCGAATAATGATCTTCTTATGAGACACATTCTGAACGCTCGCTATGTTGAAAATGTTCATCAGAACGGAACTTTCAGAATGTCTGTAGCGTTACCGAAACGTCGATAGTATTGCATTTGGTCACAATTTTTATAAAATGCCTGAAATACCTCTTATTGATGTTTTCCCATATTGTTTCACTGATATAAGGAAATTGTTATAATCATAGTATTGCAAAAATAGACCGGCTTATGAAACTTGAGCAGTGCATTACAATATTGCTGCAAAATTGGAAAGTGACCCTTTATTTAGTTTTTGCAGTGATTTTCTATAAATAGTGGACTGCTCTTAGGTTTAGGCCTTTGACCTGGGTGTTTGAAACAATTAGAGAAATGCGCTCAAAATACTGTATATATACTAAGTGACATATAAATCCGAACACCCAGTTTAAATGGTTTTATTTTAATAAAATTTTGTATACGTACTTAATGAGGCATAATAAGTAAATGATAAAAATTTCAAAATGATTGCACTGCTTTAAAGCCCTTTGACCTTTAATAATGTGTGGATGCACCCTGATGTGCTACGCATTCTCCAACGCGCCTAGGCATGCTTCTGAACAGGTGGTCAATGTCCTCCTGTGGTATCTCATTCCAGGCAACCACCAACTCCTCTCGAAGTGCTTCTAGAGTCTCAGGAGGACGTTGTAAATTGAGCAATCATATCCCACACGTGCTCAATTGGGGATAAGTCGGGAGATCTTGGTGGCCATGGTAACAATGTGACATCATTATGTTGAAAGAAGTCTATTGTGACTCTTGCAACATGTGATCGGGCATTATCTTGTTGGAAAGTTGGATCTGCCAGGGTGTCAAGATAAGGTAAAAGATGGGGTTCTAGAACTTCGTGGATATAACGCTGCGCGTTCATGTTACCTCTGATGAAGATTAAAGGTGACCTGGAACCATAAGCTATAGCACCCCAAACCATAACTCCAACAGTGTGATGAACATGTCTTTCAACAAAAAAACTGTGGATTCCTAATTTCACCACGTCGCCTTCTAACCCTGGCACGACCATCGTGCATGCCTAAACAAAATCGAGACTCGTCGCTAAAGACAATACTGTTCCATTCCTGATCCCAGAGTGACCGTTGTCTGCACCACTCAAGGCGATTACGTCGGTGTTCTCGAGTTAAAGGGAGGACCCAGTGTGGACGGTATGAAAACAAGCCAAAACTTCTCATTCGTCGGTAAACACTTCGCATGCCAATAGGTCTTCCGTGTTCTGAAAACCATTCATTTGCAATGGACCTGGTAGTGGAGAAACGGTTCCTTAAGGCCAATAATCTTAGGCGGCGATCTTCACGGACTGTTGTTCTACGGCGGCGTCCAGTGCCCCTTGCTCTTTGCGTACGGCCTTCTCGAAGCCATGCCTGACAACACCTAACCACAGTGTCTACACTTCTTTGCACTCTAACTGCAATTTCCCGAAAAGAAAGTCCAGCTTCCCGAAGTCCCACTATACGGCCCCTATCAAACTCACTAAATTGACGAAATCGTACAGGTCTCCGTACTCTAGGCATCGTAACCGATCGTAAAGGATGTCAAGAACCAAAATCCGCCAACGTTGATTCTTTACTGCGGCTCAAACATTCATTTTTAGAGCGTTAGTGAATTAAAAAAAAGCAGTATAAAAACAGGAATGTCCAACTGATAAGGCTGAAAATTTTGTCACTTGTTATTTACAGTAAGATAAATACATTCACCAAGTTTTATTAAAATAAAACCATTTAAACTGGGTGTTCGGATTTATATGTCACTTAGTATAGAAAAGTTTAAGAATTTTTGTGCGCTTATATTTTTCAACTATTTTTATTACTTTTAAATATTGTTTATTTATGTCATATACTTAGGTATATACTATTCCACTTCACAGGTCTTATTAAACGGAACAAAAATGTTTATGTCCACTTTATGTATTTTACGGCTTCCTTACTGAGAAGTTCATTTCTTCTAATATTGATATTTTTAATTTCTCTTAAAATACTTGATTGACTTGAGATAACACTCTGCGAGTGGACGGTAAGCAACAATGGACTTAATTTGTAGTAGTTATATTCAATTGTGTTGCTCCAGGGGTAGCACTATCAAATTTTAACCGAGTATTTCTGATTTTAACTAAGCACGACAATGGTTTCTTTGTAAGTATGATCAGGGACTTTAGGATGAACAAAAATTTCCATTTGCCTGTTGATAGGCAATTCCATTGTCTGTAGCTATAAAAATCACCGAATGTGGAGCTCACAGAAATAAGCTGGGGTATATCCATTTCTGTTTAATTCTGGCAGTTTTATTATTTTGTGAATTATTGTACTTAAAAACTCTTAACCTACTTGTTTACAAGGATGAAAATTTTTTTTTTCTTCTGATAGTCCCTTGGCCACACTGACAAAAATACGAGTGGTGGAGGTAAACTCCAAAATACCCTGTTGAAATTTGATAGCACCACCGCTGGGATTAAGACCCGAATGATGAAAAACAACTGAAAGTCAAAAAGCGTACAAAATTAACAAGTAAAATTTTCAATAAACAATATTTTAAATGCATTCCACTAAAAATCGCATAAATAGATTCTGTTTTTAGTCTGATCGTAAACTACAAAAAGCTATTAAATATCTATTGTTTCTTTGGTACTCCACGGCTCGATATGAAAACAAGTGCAGTTCAATGTGTCATTAAAATTTTTCTCAAATCAATAAGTATTTTTCACCTCAATCACAAAAGCTTTGTTAAACAGCAAAAAATTGTATTAAAAGAAGGTTGTCAGCATGTGTGATGCACCATCCTCATCCTAGCAGAACGCACAAACATGGGAAAGATGCCAAAATCCAAAAACATTATTAATGAAAAATTATATGAACGGATCTCAAAAAATAATAAGAGGAGTGGTCACTGCAAAAATTTTCTTTGACGATGCTTCCAGTTAATAAGCTGGAGTTAAAAGTCACTCAAAACCTAACATGGAACGTATTTTAAAACATAAATGAGCATCAGGTCGTCAGTCCTGGGTCAGAAGTAGAATTCCACGGCGTACCTTAAGTGCTCTAAGTCGAATGGTTCGAAAAAAATGTGAATTTTAGCGCTTCGACAATTTTTCCATTTTCCATTGAGCCTCTTAACATATATGACTATTCCGAAGTTAAATTGTACAAGGAGTCAATAATTATATCCAAATTCCGATCTGGTTATTCGTTCGACAGATATTTCGATCAAAATTAACGTTTTCGAATTTTTAACTGCATTATTTGGTTGATAATTCGGAATGCCTTCCGAAACGAAAAATCCACAAAATCAGGTATTACTATTATTTCTTTTTGTAAAGCAAAATGATTAACATATATGTTATATGCACTCACAACAATGGACTTACTATTCCATACAATGTTGCACCAGACGCTAGCTCAGCAACAGATAACGACTTCTCGCTAACGCGTTGCTTATGCTTTGTTTTCTAGAAGTGCTTTGTAAGCACACCAATAGTATAGACTCCGTCAAGTCAAGTAATTGTAAACGATTGTAACGGATAGTAGTTACTGTCCTCAAATATTTTTTTTAAAAAGTAAAGTTGAATTTAAATGATATATATGATTTAATTTTCTACTCGGGCCACTAAATTGTTCGACTATTTTACTATTACTTATCAAAGACCTCCTCTCCTGTATGCGATCAATCCCATCCACAGCCTTGCCGGTGATAGCACTCTACATGCAGGCGCTGAATGCTTCCAAGACACAGTACTGTACCTTGACTAACAAGAAGGGCACAGGCGCTGGCGCTCATGTTTCGATGGATCACTGAATTATGAGAAAGAGCCATTCATTTCGGCTGGTCAGAGTCCAGATTATCGAGGACGACTTGGCATGAACACATCTCGTCAATCGCTACAGCTGATGCGCGGAAAAAGATAGGTTATTTGTTTAGAAGTGATTTTCTCCGCATAACCTCCTCACTCTGTGAAAGTCCCAGATAAGACCTAGCCTGGAGTACTACTCATATGTTTGAGGTGCTGCCGCCCCGACTACATGGTCCATAGTCGATGCGTCGATGCTGTTCATATGAGGGTCGTTCGATTGATCGACGACGCTTCTTTAACGGACGTTGAGTCTGATAGACGGACCTGTCAGACTGCTGCTTCCTGTTCCAACTCTGTCGAATTTCGTACATAGAGAACTGCCCGTACGACCGCTCCTTTGTTCCTAGAGTGCCGAGATTGTGGAAAAATCTGCCTGAGGGCGTATATCCCAATTCTGTTAACCTCCTACAGTACAAATCGGATTAACAAGGCGTCTTTTAAGTTCCCTATAGCAATCGCGGTGCCCCCCGGTATTTAGATTTCTGCCTCAGTATAAAAAATGGATCCAATTTTCGATATTTTGGAGCAAAATTGGCCATTTTTATGATATTGGAGCTATGGAGGCGCAAAAGACCTTCTAAAATCTCAAATTTCTAAGTTGAACGCTTCGCTCTGGAGACGCGTTCAAGGCTGCAAGGTTAGGAAAAAATGTGAATTTTAGCTTTTTTTGGGTATATTTCCATTTTCTCGCTGGAGAGCATAAAGCCCCGCAATATGCAACTATTCTGGAGTAAGATATTATTCAGATAATTCAAAAATGACCTCCAAATTATGATCTAATAATTCGTTCGGCAAATATTTTAGTCAAAATTGACTTTTTTCATGCAACGTGTCCCGTGATAGTCTATGGTTCTACCGTTCTACTACTCGTATTTCCAATATAAGGTATTCCGCCAATGCTGCTATTTGTTGAAGAGGATGTTTCGTATAGCTTTCTCTTCAAAATCATCAATTAAGCAGAATTGTTCACGTGCTGTACCGCTAATAAATATACTAAGTGACATATAAATCCGAACACCCAGTTTAAATGGTTTTATTTTAATAAAATTTTGTATACGTACTTAATGAGGCATAATAAGTAAATGATAAAAATTTCAAAATGATTGCACTGCTTTAAAGCCCTTTGACCTTTAATAATGTGTGGATGCACCCTGATGTGCTACGCATTCTCCAACGCGCCTAGGCATGCTTCTGATCAGGTGGTCAATGTCCTCCTGTGGTATCTCATTCCAGGCAACCACCAACTCCTCTCGAAGTGCTTCTAGAGTCTGAGAAGGACGTTGCAAATTGAGCAATCATATCCCACACGTGCTCAATTGGGGATAAGTCGGGAGATCTTGGTGGCCATGGTAACAATGTGATCTCATTATGTTGAAAGAAGTCTATTGTGACTCTTGCAACATATGGTCGGGCATTATCTTGTTGGAAAGTTGGATCTGCCAGGGTGTCAAGATAGGGTAAAAGATGGGGTTCTAGAACTTCGTGGATATAACGCTGCGCTGATGAAGATTAAAGGTGATCTGGAACCATAAGCTATAGCACCCCAAACCATAACTCCAACAGTGTGATGAACATGTCTTTCAACAAAAAACTGTGGATTCCTCCTTTCACCACGTCGCCTTCTAACCCTTACACCGACGTGATCGCCTTGAGTGGTGCAGACAACGGTCACTCTGGGATCAGGAATGGAACAGTATTGTCTTTAGTGACGAGTCTCGATTTTGTTTAGGCATGCACGATGGTCGTGCCAGGGTTAGAAGGCGACGTGGTGAAAGGAGGAATCCACAGTTTTTTGTTGAAAGACATGTTCATCACACTGTTGGAGTTATGGTTTCGGGTGCTATAGCTTATGGTTCCAGGTCACCTTTAATCTTCATCAAAATTTTATTAAAATAAAACCATTTAAACTGGGTGTTCGGATTTATATGTCACTTAGTGTATATAGTTTCGTTTCCTTGCCTTAATTAATGTATCTCTGATATTAAGAATAACTTCTTATTTATTCTTCAACTACCACGGAGACCTAAGGCCTAAGCACCCATTGGGTACCGTGGGGCTATAGGGGGATACATGGGAAAGGGGGAACGCCACACGGACTCTGGCTATGCAACATGTGTGCATGCAACATGCACACATTCTGGCGAGATCTGCCGGGTGGTACCTCCGCGTTCGACAGTCAGAGACCGTCTACCACCTACGGACAATCACAACATCCATAGCCAAGAGAAAAATTATTCCTGGGACGGGACTCGAACCCGCACAGCGCACGGCGACTGATCAGGAGACCTAAGAGTGTACTAGTCTACTACTGCGGCCACCGCTGCTGCCTGGCGATGTATGTTTTGTTTTGTGCTGGCGAATTCACATCCCAACACAGGTATTCCTAGTTTTTCTGCCTTTCTCTACGTGAGTTCACGCTTCACGCAGTAGGTACGAATAGCTACTTGAATATCGTTTCCATTTAATCCTTCCTAGATAAAACAATAATCAAATTCAAGCGGATAACCAAATGGAAATGGTATTTACCATTTTGGGTTGGTATTTACCAATGCGTTCAAGCGAGTGTAGTTATCAGTTTGGTTATAAGATCCGTGACTTCACGAATCGGCTGTTATATGTCATAGTTATCACCGCAAAATTGTGGTATTTACCCAACTCAAGAGTAGCTTTATATTTCTGGTTATTATTTGAAATGTGACAAAAGTTAGAATTTTGCCGGGTATTGGATATTGTTATTGTACTTCAGCTTCATTTTTGAGAAAAATGATACAGGCTGACTTCAGTTTTACCATAAAGTGGAGCACCTTATTAGTTATACTCATTACGGTTGTTGGGGACACTTTAAATGTAGTTCCTATGCTTAACAAAGTATCCTGTGTAGCCATATACCACAAGAATATTAAAATATGGCCATATAAACTCACTAGATGATATCCACCTGTATACGGTTTTGCTAATTTCTTTTTTCATCATTTCTGCTGAATCAATAAATGTTTTGTTTGACATGCGGAAAAATTTAGAGAATTGAAAGTTATCATAGCTACAAAGTCATGGTTCCATCATTAAAAAAAAATCTGAAGAAAACATTTCTCCCATGAAGATTATGAAAGGTTTCTTATTTAAACTTTCCATATACAGTTGTAGACGAAAAAGCACCGATTATTAAGTGATAATAAAAATAATCAGAGATTATATACACGCTTTTCTAAAATAAACAACTTGCAACAAAACCGCGGTTAAAACCAACGCGTTCAAGCGATTCGTCTAACTGACGTCATCAACCCGTGTGTCATCTTGAACCATATTATAACCGCGGCACATAACACAGAAATTTTGGTTATTCGCTTGGATTTGATAAATGTGAGACATGTAGGTTTGTCAATTAGGCAATAACCGGAACCGGTTGCTGACGTCATCACATCAGCTGTCAACCATAAATTTACCCGATCAATCAGTGATGGAATCGACTGGTGAATTAAAGAATATACCTATTGGCTTGGCTTCTATCATATTCGAATTTAAATTCAGAATAATTCCTCAATACAGGGAATCTCCAGAATTCAGAATTAATGAATGCCAGCGGTAGGCAATCAGCAACACTTATAACCAAAACGCGACATCTGGCGAGTTGTGTAAATAACTAGAGTTCGGTTTTCTGTGATAGATGATGAAACATACTTGTAAATACAAAAAATTATAAAAGTTTTCTGATTGAGGGCTTCTTACATGTGGCGCCACCTATTGGCGCAGTGATCTACTCTACAATAAAACTGCCCAGAAATCTTTAACAAACACTTACATTCCATGGTAATTTTACATTTTGTTAAATATATCACATTTTTTCTACTTAATAACGTTATCTTGACAACAAAGAGGAGAAAATTCTATCCTACATGTAATCGCTTATTTTAAACCTTGTATGAATTTTCTAAACATTTTCCTAACGACTTCTATTTCACCTTGGAAAGGTCAAACAAGTCAAGTCGAAGTCGCCAACTAATTTTTGACACTTCCTTGGGGGACGTGCCGGTGTACAAGTCACAGAGACCCTATTTTCAAATATTTTGAAATAATACTCGGTAAGTACTATTTACTTGTTCGAAAGTTATAACAAATCATCGATAAAAAGCAATGGCAAGTACAATTATGTCTTTTTTGTGATTAATTTGGAATGATTTTAGATGTAATTCCTGAGGAAGGTCATATCCTGTACGGTTTATTTCATTTTTCAGCTAAATATAAATGTATAGCTTCGTGTATTTTCAGTAAAATAGTGTGAATTCAACATTTTCTGACGGAAAAAACATTCAAAAGATATGATTTTGAAAATGTTGAATTCTTCCTATCCCTATGACATAATCTTGACATTTTTCTTTTTTGTATATTTTTTTCCAATATGGCCAAATTTAAAATATTTCGTCGTCTCTATAGCATCTCTAAAGAGCTCAACATGCCTATGAAATCAATCAGAGCCCGCAACATCTTCGACTCTCGTGGTAACCCTACTGTGGAGGTTGACCTCGTCACTGACCTAGGGCTCTTCAGAGCTGCTGTGCCATCTGGTGCTAGCACTGGTAAGATCATATTTTGTTCTCGTGATAACGATATATTGAAAATGTGTATTGTGTATCTTCAGCCATATGAAAGTACTAGCTGTCACCATTGACTTCCTATGTTTGATATTTTTACTAACAAAAAATTAAGTAATGCTGTAACTTCCAATGCGTTTTGTAACCTTGATGGCATTCTTACTTTGAGAGACAGCCTGCATTCTGGGGAAATTTGGTTGTTTTATTAATTTATTCATCTTCAAGTCATAATGTAAATAGTTGCAACAAAAATCATTTATTGAATATGAAATAGCAGACAATGTCTGATGTAACTATTCATATTATGTAAGAAAAGTTATGACTAAATGTTATATTGTATAGTGAACGTGCCATTGGGCCATTTCTCTTGAATATACAGTATTTGGGTTTTCAGTGTCAACTAAGCAAAATAGCTTATTCTATTTTCATAATTATTTGGGGTCAAGAATATGTGATACTTATTTGACATGGTTAGATATTTTAATTTTGACAGATTTAAAAGTCATGTAAATACCATTAGTGAAATAAATTTAATAGTTCTCTTTGAAAAATGTATTCAGTTCGAACATTGTTGAAACAAAACAATTATATAAAGCTTATGGAGCCTCAGGGTAATGGTTGTGTTTGGAAGCTAGACATTTTTTTGATAGCTTGTCGCAGCCTACTTTCATTGCGTACATTTTTTATTATAAAGCAATGAAAAAAGTAGAAAGAGAAAGGAGAAAAAACATTTGAGACAAAATCTGCCAGGGAAATGATGCCAGGGTAATGACAAAAACATACACAACTGTATTATCAGAAAACCATAGCTCTCTGTTGTTAAATTTGTTGCATTAATATTATGAAATTTTAGTCATAAATCTCCACATGTTGCAATATAAGGAAATAATGATACTCTACCAATGTTTTATTGTTGTAACAATTATATTTTTGTTTGGCTTTTTGCTGATAACTGAGTATGACCAGAATTTGGCAAGATCAAATATAATGGTTTTAACATTTACATATACTTCCTCTTAATCAGCACAACTTGTAAGAAAACACAAATACAGTAGGTTAAATTTGATTCTTTTAACAACAGTGTTTCAAAACAGCTGATAAAACTTTGCAGAAAGCGGGACATGCGTGCACGCCCATTGAGGCGATGCGACACTGCGGCGACATTTATCATTTGCACGCGTCAAACGTGACAAGTCGCGTTGCTCCAGCGTTTTTACTTCCCATGTTTTTTACCTCGAAATTGTTTAAAAAATAATCAGGATCCTCTGAAACTTCTAAAAGTCTGTGCGATTTTTATACTTCCTCGTTTTAGCCCTTTTTCTCTGCCGCCACAGTTTTTGCGTCCTAGCAACATTGTGCAAAAATTTCATCGAAATCCTAGCGGTACTTCTCAAGTTATAGGCCGTTATAAGATTAGCGGACAGACTGGCAGACAGACTGACGGAAGGAGTGATACATGTCATATTACATCCAATAGGCATGGAAAGTAAAAACAAAACTACATTTTTTGAGGTCTGTTTCTTGAAGATTTTGTCTCTAAACATTAACTTGACTATTTCCTAAAATGATCATTACCAAGAAAAAGATTGGTATTGAATCGTTTGAATTTTACGACCATCATAAAATCCAGTTTTAGGCAAACAAAAAATGGTTTTGGGCGGCAACTAATACAACGTTTTGTATCCTGAAAAAATAAAAGAAAATTTAGACTTATTTGGTGTATCTAAGATGATAAAAATTTTGAGAAAAAAATTGAAAAACCATCAGAAATTCATGATGTATATGTGAATAAAATTGCATGTGCATGGTCAACGTACCCTTTCTTAGCAGGCTGTGTCAAGAATTTTCTAATTCAAGAGATTTTGTACATTTGTCTTTTTGTCTAGCATTACTTTAAACGGTCCTATTTATTTAATATTGTAGCCGGTCAAGCTGTAGCAAAAAAAAGTTTTTGGAGTTGACCAAGGATTGTTAGAGTGGTTAACATTTAAAAAAAATTCCAACTTGCTGTACGTTTTCCAAATTTATTTTAGGATGACACAGAGCATATATTTTTTATCCTTCAAAATGTATGTTTTGTAATTGAAAATTAAGGTGAGTTTTTTGGCCGAAGCCGAAGGTTGCCTTAGTCATAAATAATGAACGTTTTTGCCTCCGCATCCATTTTTTGTGATATTTTCACTGGTACACCCTTCCAATGAGCGTGCTTTCACTGGCAACGACCAACACGTCGGAGTATGCACGACGACGTCAGAACCATTTGAGCGTTCAAACAGATTTGATTTGTTCGTACGACCTGCGTCTTTTTACGTACTTGGTTATTTCACAAGAACAATAAGTTGATAACTATTATGTACCAGATCAGTTTACTGTGAGATATGAGAGATAAAAATTATCAATAATGACCTTTCAATCTCGTTATCTGTACTAGAAAGTAAAGGATTGACATGTTCTGTTTTTCCACTATTCAACAACAGTAACTCCAGTAAAGGACTTTCAAGAAAATAAAATTCGTCAACGCCGTCCATATTTGCTATGAAGCAGAAAAGTAGACTACCAAAGTGTCGCACAACATGCACAGTGTAAGCGTCTTGTTCTGACCAGGATCTCAGATGTACTGCTCAGTACTAGATTTCATCAGAATTCGCATCCATAGCTACCTTAGCCTAAGGAAAACTCAAGCTTACATACAGTAATAGACAAAAGTATATAGACAAATTAATATTGAGCTGTATTTCTTCTACTTATACATAAATTAGAAATTAATAGACTCCCTTCAATAAAAAATTGATTGAAAAATACTGGAACTATGAAGGACAAAAATATATAGACAAAGCAAAACAATTATAGAAAAAAGAAGCAAAGTTCATTGAATTATAGAAATCCAACCATGTTTGTGTTAATATTTTGTAGCATAACCATTGTTATTAATCAGATTCTAGAAGTTTCTTGATATAAGATTCATCAATCTGTCTCCACTTTTGCTGTAAAGTGGCAAAAAGTTCGTCCTTGTTTGAATAATTTTGATCTCGTATTTGCTTATCTAAATATTCCCATAGATTTTCAATGGGGGACTGTGAAGGCCATTTGAGAACTGGTATTTTTTCATCCAGCAAGATTTGAAGTGTGCTTCGGGTCATTATCTTGCTGGAAGATTGATCTTAATGGCATATTGTCTTCCATATAGGGTAACATGATATGCTTTAGTATGTCTGTGTATACAAACTTAACCATAATGCCATCTATTCTATGTAAAGGTCCCATCCCAAACTCCGAAAAGCACACCCAAACCATAACACACCCGCCTCCATGTTTGACAGTGGGCAAAGTGTACTTGGAGTTCAATCTTTGTCCACTACGACGTCTAACGTAATGAACACCATCTGATCCAAACATATTGAACTTGGATTCGTCACTGAAACATATCCTCTTCCAGTCACAGATGCTCCAATCAAGATGCAGCCGTGCAAATTGTAATCAGTCCTTACGGTTTTTCCTCGACATTAGCGGCTTCTTACTCGGGCGACGTGCTAATAACTGCAAATCATTTAATCTTCTACTTATATTTTGTGTTCCATTTGTCTCGATTTCGGCTTTTATTTGTCTTGGGGTTTTAAACGGATCTTTGGACGAAATTACTTTTATTAATCTAACTGATCTAGCATTTAGTTTTCTAGGCCGACCACTTCTCTTAGAGGCTCCCAAGATAACAGTTGTTTATATTTGTTCAATATTGCCCAAACTGCTTTACGCTTCAGCTTCAAACATTTGGCAACGTCGAATTGGTGTTGACCATCTTTGTCTAACTCAATGATCTTAGTTTTCTCATCGAAACAACTCAACTTATTCCACAATACTTGATGAACACAAACTAATCCTCTTCTGACACGAAACTGTACTAAACTAATGTTAAAAAGAATTTGTTTACATATTTTTGTCCCTCATAAAAAAGTGTTTATATTCAGACTTGTATTGTGTTCATTGCAGGTAATGTAAAAACAAGGAATTTAGTTTTTCTACTAATGGCGCATTTGTTTATGGAGCAATGAGTATGAATTCGTTTTCTAAAGGTATTTAGGTAAATATTCATATTTGTCTATATACTTTGGTCCATCACTGTATGTGGTTTTATTCAACGGCCACAAAACATGGAGAAGTATCAGCATGAAAACAACAGGATAAGTTTTAGAATTTAGATGTTACTTTAACCATTGTTATGTGGAATTCTAATATGAGTTCTAATAAATCTGTGGAACTAATTTTTTATTTGTGTTTAGTTATATCATTTATATATTTAAAAGGTATATTTTGTTATATAACCATTAAATAATCTGCAGGTGTCCATGAGGCCTTAGAACTTCGTGATGAGGTCAAATCCGAATACCACGGCAAAGGTGTCTTCAAGGCCATTGACAATGTCAACAAGATCATCGCCCCAGAACTGCTAAAATCCGGATTAGAAGTCACCCAGCAGAAAGAAATCGACGAATTTATGTTGAAGTTGGATGGTACTGAAAACAAGTCGAAGCTGGGCGCCAATGCTATCCTTGGCGTGTCTTTGGCAGTGTGCAAAGCTGGAGCTGCCAAAAAGGGCATTCCCTTGTACAAGCATATCGCCGATTTGGCTGGAAACAAGAACATCATCCTGCCGGTGCCTGCTTTCAATGTCATCAATGGAGGCTCCCATGCTGGAAACAAACTGGCTATGCAGGTTAGTGTTGACATTTTTTTACATGGTCCTTGACAACGACCTTGGATGATGAGTGTTTCTGAATCCACTGCTACTAATTTTTAATTTTTCCATATCATCTTTGCAGCTAAAATATTTCCAGTTCAATAGATAGATAGGTAGATAAAGCTAAATGACTTAAGTGGATCTAAAGTAAATTAATTTTAGACAGCACATATGGTTTACATATTAAGAAGTTTGTAAGTTCACGTCAGAATATACATATTTGGATAACATCAAGGTGACACATGTAAATTTACAGACCATTATAAATTATTTTCACAAGTGTTGATTTATGTATTACTAATTTATACAGGGTGACTTTGAAGTTGAGTCATTAATTTTCAGATAATGATTGTAGAAGGAAGATAAACCAAAATATGTGTGTAAAAATAATAAAAAAATTTACCTTGTTTTATAAAGTATCCTCCCGACAAGTATTTCAGTGCGGACCTGTATTTGATCGTGAGGTCTTGGAGCACCGACATGCCGTCACCTGCTTCACGAGCCCGTTGTACTACATTAACAAATGCACGAGGGGTTGGTTGCACTCGATTGGGAAACCGATCCGCATAAACATGTGCCATTTTTTATTTCGTTTGAGCCACGCAACAGACACCACTATTCACTGACACTGACTGTATACAAATGAATAAAATAATTGTAAAAACATCGTTCCAAATTATTTCGCTTTTTTTTTCCGATGCGATGAACCGATACGGCGGATTATATCCGTTGTCGCCAAACACGAGCACATAATATTATTATTGAGACAGGGCGGTACTCAAACTTCCAAAGGGCTATAACTTTGTTACTTTAATTTTACTAGAAAAATGGTAAAGGAAAAAACATTTCTTTTGATCAGATCTACTCACTGTTAAAATAAATGACTCAACTTCGAAGTCACCCTGTATAATAGAATAACAACCTATTAATAATTAATGAAAATGGAATATGATATTAAGGCTACTATCAGTTGCTTGTAAATTCGTTTTTCAATTTCTAGGGGGGCTCGAAACTTGTATGCTGGAATTTTATTTTTGTGATTCTTGTCAGTTTGTCACTGTGTTGTCAATTTTGTTATTGTTATTTGATTTTAAGACGGGTCTTGGAAAAAGGTGCTCAGTAACGAAGAAAAAAGTAAGTATTTTCAAACAACTCATACTTCTATTTTGTCATTTGCCGTTTTGTAGAACTGTGAAATAATCTGGAACAGGCTATTCATTGTCACATGGTATTTTCTGCTCGAGACTTTGTTGAATGAGAATTGTTGATTGCGAGATTCAAGAAGAATTATTATGACTTTTGTACAGTATTTTGGCTATCCTGTATGCAAGACTCCTTGGTTCACAATCTATAAACCGTTGATGCGGCAACGCTGCTTTTATGCCTTAATGTCGAGTTCTGTGCATCACTGTCAAGCACATTAGGTTAGACATTGCGATTTGACCACAACTTTATAGTTATCCCAAACATGCTCCTCTTGTTGAAGTGACCTACTGTATTAGAGCAAACTTGTCATTGAAAAATGCTTTTTGATAGTCAACTTCTAGATAGCGGTCAAGTTGCAGTTAACTTGCTATTGAAAAACCGGGTCTTCGAAGAAAAAAATTTCTACATCCTAAATTCGTCATTTTTCAATTATACTCAGTGACAAAGTAAATAGAACACCCAGTAAAAATGTTTTTTTTGTCGAAGGGCATACAATTATACATAAGCAAGAGGGAGTCGTGTTTAAATAAGTGTAAAAATCGTAATAACTTTGTGTTCAATTTTGTTAAAGTTTTATGAAATACTGCAGGAAAACGGTTTTATCGCCAAAAATTAAATAAAAAATACCTTATTACATCCAAGAATAGGTTATCGGATTTAAGCTTTTCAATTTTTCCTTTGAGAATTTTGGTTTTATTGTCACGTTTTTCTTTTTTGATGTCATCTAAATTATCTGCGCCACGTCAGTTCCATATAAGTACCAACAAATTCTAGGAAAATTGGCTAAAGGGTTGTATCTTTTTGATGAGGCGGACTTTTACCCTGTATCATGAAAGCGAATCATTTTTGAACCCACGTTTTAATGAGCTGATTTTCTTAAAGTTACCCAAGAAATCAGGCTTTGCATCCCGCCCTTTTTATAACCTGAAATGCCATATATTGTTTGTTCTCGTACTTCATTCGGCACACACTTTTTATATTATCTATCTACAGTTTTTTTAACGTGTTAGTCCAGAACTTCTGGGCGGTAACAACAGATAGCTTTTGCCATTACCACCCAGTGCCAATTCTAACTTCGAGACTTTCTAGTTGATGGTCTGTCGTGTCGGTAAATCGATGCCGTTATATCAAATATCGTAGAAGTGTTACCATCTGAACACTGATTAAACTAGTGATTATAACCTTTCACATTCTGTCACTAGGAGTTCATGATCTTGCCAACCGGTGCTAGCTCTTTCACTGAAGCTATGCGCATGGGCAGCGAAACGTACCACCACCTGAAGAAGGTCATCAAGGACAAGTTTGGCTTGGACGCCACCGCCGTTGGTGATGAGGGTGGTTTTGCACCTAACATCCTGAACAACAAGGAGGGCTTAGACCTGATCAAGAACGCCATCGAGAAGGCTGGATACACTGGCAAGATCGAAATCGGCATGGACGTTGCCGCTTCCGAATTCTTCAAGGATGGTAAGTACACATTTGAAATGTGCAAACTACATGATGAGGCATGTTTCCAATACAGTGCCATATTGGTACGAGGTTGGAAAAACGCAAATAGACCGACATATCAACTGACCGACCAACGGAGATGAGTAAATGCATTAGTATTAATTTATATTTTTAAATTTAGACATAAGTAAATCGTAAATTTTGGTTTAATAATCCAATTATCAATTTATATCAAACCTATAATTTTGAGCCGCTTGCCTCCTTCTACTAATTGCGTCGTCCCAAATATAACATAATTGCTAATATGGCCACGTAACCTGGTATGCGTTACATCTTAAAATACGGGTTTCGGACATTGTTCCACCAGTGTTCAGTATCCATGGTAACAGTAAAAAGCTTTACCTGCCAAGACAGTACTGATTTTTTATCACTATTTCATACATGTATATTAGACTAATTTGACAATTCTCGCATTTCAAAATTTATCATTAAAGTTTGCCTCAGTGAAAAGTTAAAAGGTGACAAACTATCTAGATTTCTTCTTTTAATTTAAATGTTAAATTCAATATTGTTTAAGGACGTCCGTATTTATCTATGGTAATTTTCACTTTGACATTGGCCAAAAAAGTGTCATGAATTAGCATTATGATGGTGATTCTTATTCTGGGGCCTCTCACACCCACTTATCAATCACATGGACTGACTTGAAGCACTTCACCGATTACAAAGATAATGAACAACATTAACGTTGATGAGTTATAGAAAACAAGCGATATCTAGATTAGAGTACATTGAGACGCGTTTGTTATCAACACATATATGTTACCGGCAATCTGTATAATTTAGGTATTCTATACAAAACCTAGGCAATGTATAGAATAACTAGTTAGCCCAGGCATTGTATGAAATATTATGAAATGAAATAAGTTATATTATTTAAAATCAACTTCATTAACATTAACAATTATAGTGCTCCTTAAAAATAAGCTTTATGAAACGTTTAGAAAAAAAAATCTTTATTTTTACATGAGGAAGTATTGTGACATTTTGAAGTGCACAAAATCTTACTTTTAAGACAAGAACACTTTTTATTATCACAGTATTTTTTGCACCTGCGCCTTTTACATACATTACCGGCTGCGCATTCGGTATTGTATAGAATGCCTAGTCAAAGTATAAAACAAGGTATTCTATACATTACCTAGGTACTGTATCGAGTACTGGATTATACAGATTGCCGGTAACATATATAAAAATATTGAAATAAAATTTAAATAGATAGATCACTTGTTTAAACGTCATATTAAAAAAATAATTATCTCTATGATGTTTAGGAGCTTATGACTTGGACTTCAAGAACCCAAAGTCAGACAAGAACCAATGGCTGCCTGCTCCCAAACTGACCGACCTTTACCAGGAGTTCATCAAGGATTTCCCTGTCATCTCCATCGAGGATCCCTTCGACCAGGATGACTGGGATGCGTGGTCAAACATAACCGCAAACACCAAGATCCAAATCGTCGGTGATGACTTGACCGTCACCAACCCCAAGCGTATCCAGACGGCCGTGGACAAGAAAGCGTGCAACTGCTTGTTGCTGAAGGTCAACCAGATCGGCAGCGTGACTGAGTCTATCCAGGCACATTTGTTGGCAAAGAAGAACGGATGGGGTACCATGGTTTCTCACAGGTAGGCCTAATATTTAGATATATTAGACGAGTTTTCGCAGTAACATTGTTTTACAGACTATTACAAATGCCTTGAAGTTTTGTTTTAACCGAGAATTCTCATCCCTTATCCAGGTATCTCGTTAAGCATTCGGCGCAACAACATTATTGTCAAGCGCAATCGCAATATCAATGAATGAAGCTTGCGTTTAAATGTTTGCCTAGATTCAAGATAAAGTTTAGCTTGATATTGTTTCTGGATTAAGGTATTATCAAAGAGGATCTATACCATAAGAAAACATACAAAGCGAATTAAATTAGAGATAGACTGGACTAACCAATTTAAAGGGGCACAATAACGCTTATCCACGTGTTTTTATTTAGATGGATGCAGTATTTTCCAGATAGTTACTTATTTTGGATGAATTTATTGTCCATCGGTTGATAGCGAAAATTTAAGCATTTTTTATTCAAACTTACTTTTGTTTAGCCTTAGACTTATCTATGGTGGGGATATTTATCATCTGTTTGCAGTCTACCAAGTATATTTTTCATTCAATATGTATGTTGCAATGTGGACAATATTTATGCAAGTGTATTGATTAGAGCAATTACTAAAGGTACCTGGCATTCTAATGGTTTTTTCAGATGCACCAGTGACGCCACTGACTTTTCTATTGCATTTTAAAATAGGATCCAATTTTACATGATTCTCCTCCATTGAGAAAAGATAATTGGACTATCCTAACTTTTTCTTTGAGATGATGGGGCTGTCAAACCCTATAATCTTGTACTACACGTGTCAGAACAGTTTAGGCTGTCGCTGTCACTAATGCCAAATATTTTTTAAATTATAAGTTGTTTTGAATAACCGATTTTTGCAGTCAAAAGTGGCTTTGACTGTTTATGAGCCTGTAACATATCTATAATATAAAATATACGAGTCCAAAAAAATATGAGCCTCACTTTGCAGACGACCCCCTCCCTCCGTTTTCATTTGCCGATACTCCCGAGACGCGCATCTTCCTGATCATAAATCGTGAAAGAAATTCAAATTTATCAAATCGACCCTCCCCCAAAATATTTTCTAGATCCGTCCCTGGGTTGAATATAAGCATCTCAATTTACAGATCAGGTGAAACCGAGGACACCTTCATCGCCGACTTGGTAGTAGGTCTATCAACCGGTCAAATCAAGACTGGTGCTCCATGCAGATCCGAGAGGTTGGCCAAGTACAACCAGATACTGCGTATCGAAGAGGAGCTGGGAGCAGGGGCAAAATATGCCGGCAAGTCATTCCGCCAACCACAGTAGGCGAGGCCTTCTATGCGTGCTCCAACTATTAGGTCGGTAGGTTACAAAACAGCTTGCTCTTGGTTTAGTTATCGTGCCAAGATCTTTGTACTGAGGTGATTCAAGTAAGCTGATTCAGGTACCAGTGATGTTTCAGATGTTTAGGATGTAACAAGTTGTATGTATGCATCGTTAAAAGTATATACTAAATATTTATAATGTAAATATTGGGTTTTATTTCTTGAAAACAATACTGTCACACCAATACTGTTTCACATGCAGATGAACCACTGCTTACACGTTTATCGTTTGCTCGAACATTTTAAGGTTGCTTTATTCCTCATTGAACTTTAAGCACTCGCTGAATACCAATGCACTGCTCCAACTTCCCTTGAAAAACTGTTATTAAATTATAAAATTATAGTGACTGAGAAATCCATATACTGTTGAAATGTGTACGAGAGAAAAGCTTGCAATACGTATGTTAGAATGGGATAGAAGCAGCACGTTGCAACCCGAGTGACGAGATCACGGACGCAGTTGCGGCTTGTCGCGTTGCCATCGGCGCACTCTTTCTAACATACGTATTGCACGCTTCTTGTGTTTCTCTCTCGTGTACATTACCTCGTCAATGATATTTGGATTTCTCTGATTAGGCCTTTTCACGTTTTTTGGCGGGTCACAGTGAAGCTATAACAATTAATTTCATCACTCGCATGTATGCCACCGCCCTCCATGGCGGATGTTTGTGTAAAGCGGCCTACACACCTTGCTGTATGTTGCGATGCGACTCATGAAACTTGCATAAGCGCCTACTCAAATCGAAACCTGATGCCTGAATCGACTCGATGTTTCATGCAATACAAAAACAATAGGGTGAAGGTATTTTTAAAACTACTTAGTGCGTTATTATTTGCTTGACAACTAGATTGAGGTACGTTTTGCCATAACCAGTTTTATAACCAATAGTTGGGGCACTAACTACTCCATAAAAGAAAAAGAAAATCAAAAAAGGAATGGTCCAAAAGATGCTTTATAGAAAGAAAACGTTATTCAAATGCAAATTTATTGGAAGAGCTAAAAGTACATGAGCCAGTGGAATAAATGTTTATTCCAAAATTGTAGATTACTTTCCATCATGGAATTTACACACGCACAAACAACAAACAGACCTCTAAAATGACGCGGGAAGATAAATATCGCCTTGGCATATACACGGTGAAACTTGCATCAGCATCACCGACTCGGCGTCGTGGCTCGCCGACGAAAATGGTATTGAAGATTCCAGACGCTGCATCGCTGCAAGCCGCAAATGATACCAAACACGAGATTCAGAGAACTACACACACTGCTGCTTGCGTCATGAAACATAAGAGTCGATGCCTGCAAGGTGTGTATGCCGCTAAAGACTCTCTAGACATGTTTTTTCTTGTTTTGTCTCGCCGCCTGAACATTTTCCAGTCAACGTATGTCTTCCGTATTTAATTTTGTAACAGTCAATATGACAACTTGCTTGTCATATGCGTGCTATTTGAGTTTAGCTTTTGTCGATCTCCGCCATAAAAAATAGCAAAGCCATACAATGTTGGGTTTGTGTTGAATTCATTTGAGTATCTTTAGAACGTGGATGGAAACAACGGTCTTCTATCATCCAATTCAGCTTTGGGAAATTGATCTCAGCACATGGTAGTCTTGCCAGTCTGTTTATAATTTATGTGTCAAGGCTTTTGGCGGGTCACACTGGAACTACTGGCATCACATCCATCTCCCTCACACATACATATGCAATCTGTCTGTGTGCGAACCTTTGTGTAAGCTGAGAAATACTTTCCTTAGCTTCGTCTGGCCACCTCAGTCGCCAACGTAGGAGTATTCCTTATCTGTTACTGTCACTGTGTGACAACCGACTTGACATGGGCGAATTATTTTGAGTTTACCTTTTGTTGATCTTTGTAATAAAAAACAGCAGTACCAGTGCCTGAAAATAAATGATTTTTCATTAAGTGTGTCTGAAATTTAAAATTGATAAAACGAGTTGTGTGCGACATATGATGGAAACTATAATTGAGTATTAAAGTACATTCAATAACATTACGTTGAGAAAATTACATCATTCAAGTGGCATCCGCGGCTTCGTTTACGGCACTCGATCCGAGAGGTCAAATTTTGTAACACTCTGCTGCATAAGCCGGGCTGGATTTCACCAATGGTTTGAATGATGTTGTTCTCCAGTTGGTGAATTGTTGATTTGTTGCCATAAACCAGCGACTTGACATAACACTAGAGAAACAAATCTAAGGGCGTTAAGTCGCGCGATCTTGGTGGCCACTCCACATCGCCTCTTCTGGAAATAACATGTCCTGGGAACTTTTCTTGCAACAGCTGCAATGTAATGTCCGGTGTGTGACACGTTGTGCCGTCTTGTTGGAACCGCATGTCGTTCAGCGCCATATCATCCGATTGAGGCCATAAAAATGTGCTTTATCACTGAGTGATTTTTTGCCAAAATTTGGATCCGCTCCCAATTGTTTCAGAGCCCAATCCGCGAAAGTACGACGCACTTGGTGGTCTTGGGGCTTCAGTTCTTGCGTCAACTGGATCTTATATCGATACCTGCCAAGTCTTTTCGTAAAATTCTCCAAGTCGAGGACCCAGAAAGGCGAATTGCTTGTGCATGACGCGGATCGAAAGGTTTTTGTGTCTTCAGTTAGACTTTCGACAACAGCAACAATATTCTCGCTTGACCGCGCGTTTCTGTATCTTACAGGAACTGCTCGTACAGCAACCGAACCGTCTTGCTCGAATTTGGCGATAATTCGTTGAATTGTTCGCTCTGTTGGACGATTATTTCGGCCGTAAATATTTCGTAGCTCGCGAAAAGTTTGACGAATACAACGCGAATTTTTATAATAGATTTTAACAATTTTGACGTGTTCTTGCACAGTGTAGCGCTCCATGGTAAATGGTTACTATGACACAACACACAAACATCGTGGAATGATAGCCGTGCCACCCCGTATTCGAATTCGTTGGTGCCACCTAAAACAAGTATGTTGCCAAATTTTGGACATCGCTATTAAAAAACGCTTTACAACTATCGGATAATTCGATAGTTTTTGTAAAAATTATTGGAGTGCTTTGAGAAAGTGAATGAAAGCATCGTCCTTTATTAATCATTTCATGTGTGCGCTGCGATTAAGATCGCATCATTTACCCAATGTGCAATTTCCCTGTCGCACCTCATCTCCGCGCATGGATCAGTTAGTCGATTTCCTTAGGTACTAATTTCATATGATTGATGATGTCACATCGGCAGTTTTATCGACGTTCTCTGACATTGCGTTTGATTCACCATGTCAGGCCACACTACCGTTTTCTGCTGTGAATGGTTACCATTTAGACGGGGCAATCACATTTGTCGGATGCTGCTTAACGTGACACAAATTGAGAGGTACTAAAATTTTTTAATTTTCTTTTAAAACAGATTACAAAAAATGGTCTTCTTAAGTTTTTGGGATAGTTCAAAACTTTTCTCTGGAGCTAACCGTTTTGGAGTTATGATGGATCGAAAGTCCGAAAATAATGGATTTTTAATGCAAATTTCAACATTGAAATTTCTATTTCAGGGGCTACAGCTCAAACGGCTTAATAATTTATTTTAACAATTGAGGCAGTACCTTATCAGTTACTGCAGTCGAGATTTATTGTGTTGTGTTATTTAAAAATGTACTTGCCAATGTTTAAAAATCCTGTTAAATACAATTTCTTTGAAGGCTGCCAAGTTTCTAAATTGAAGTTCACACTTCCCCATATAATACTGAAGAGTATTTTAGGTTTAACTGATTTTAACGCATTGTTATTTAATTCAACAAAGGTGATTATTAAAAAAGAAATCGGGTTTCATTGTTTCCCAGAATACGAGACTTTTCCACCGCCTAATTACTAACCCCATTGCTAATCTAATCTGTATGCACTATGGTGCAGAAACCAGATGCGAGAAAAACGACATTAGGTGTGTTGCTAACTTCAATTGATACATTCATATAAAACTCGAGGGAATTTAAATTATTAATAGTAAATTAAGAGTATTAACTATTTGTTTATTGGTCAATATTGTCGAATTTACAACCAACTCCGTAAAATGAACATTCTTCCAACCCCAATTACCATTAGAGACTAATAGAGGGGTTACTTGAGCTAGAACCTAAACTCGTCAGGAGGGTTTTGGGGTTTCTTAACGTTATCAGGATCCTGGGTAGATAAGTATTTTTGATCTCAAAAACGCTTATCGTTTTCAAAGAGGTTCCAGGCCATAAGATGTTGCTGTAGGCATCTCAGACCTTCCCACATTGCTTGATATAAGTCAGCGGGTGGTGACAAGCTGTCCTGGTGACCAGCGCGTAGACGAATCGGCCACAATCAGGAACTCACAGTACATGCGGCTGTAGCTCTTCGAACCTCGGGTTGCATCCAAACTTCTTCTGGAACAGGGAAGCCACACCCCCTGAGGTGTTCAGGTCCTCAGTTACGCGGTATGTCAGCGAGTGTTCCAGAAGCAGAAGACCTCTTGTACTTCCGCGGTCACGACAAGACGAGCCTTGCCGCTTCCCGAGTAAGCTCCGAGGAACTTTTCTAAGGATGACTCAGTGACTTCTGCTGGAGGTGGCGCTTGCTTCATTGTTACTTCCGGCAAAGGGGTGAGTCGGTTATGGTGTACGACTCTTGGCCTCCCCTTGGCACCCTTCCGTTCGGTAGACAACGTCCTTCTTCAGAACGTAAGGACCTTCCAGGACAGTTGCAGCTTTCGTTGGGGCTTATGCAGCCACACCAGGTCGCCCTGCTGATAGCCTCCTTCTTCGGCATGCACGTCCAAATGGTCCTTAATTCGTTCACTCGCAATTTCGATTTGATTGCGCACTTCCTTATGGATTTCAATCATGTGTCTCTTTAGGGTGGATGCGTAGTCGTCACCTGCCCCATCTGCTCCGGGTCCACTTCCAAACTGCAAGTCACAAAGTAAGCGGAGCTCACACCCAAACACCACTTTAGCATCAGGAACATGGACAGATACCAGTCCCAGTCCCGCTGGTGGCTGGATACTATTTCTGACAGGTATTTTTCAAAGGCTTGGTTCATCGTTTTCACCAGACCGTCCGATTGGGTTGTAGCGCGGTAGTCCTGGTCTTCCTCATGCTCAGCTTGTCACAGACTCCTTTGTACATCTCGTTCCTGAAGCTTCTGTTTTACGGCATGCTCCACATTGACTATCAAGACGTGTTGACTGTTGACTCGATGAACCTGCTCCTCAAGCCTTTGCAGCTGCGTGTCTCAGTGACCAAACTTCAGTTGGAGTTGCGTGTCTCGTTCAGCAATCTTCTGTTCGACTTCCTGCAGCATCCCTTGTATCTCCCTTTGAAGCTTCTCCGGCGTTTCAGGTAACCTGATGGTGAATTCATCTCTGAGGGCACGGGTGATGTGGTTCATCTTCTCTGAGAGGATCTGGTTCTCCTCCTTCAGCGCACTGATGCTGTCGGGCACCATCTGGGAAAGGGTCTCCTCCTTTAGCATTGCGACAGGGCATGATTCTCCTCCCCCAGTGTTGGCGACTGGGCCTAGTTCTCCTCTCTCGGCTCTTCTACAACGCCTGGCTCTCTCCTAGAGGGCACGGCTGGTGTTGTCCAGTTACTGAAAAACAACCTGGTTCTCCTTCCTCACGGCTTTCTAAATAGTCTCGAAGACGGTCCACTAACGTCGCCTTCAGCCCCTTCGTCTAGAGCTCAACCTCCTGTAGCTCCCTTCTCAGGTCCACCACTTTCCGATCGCACAGCCTTATCACAGTCACTGACTTTCACACGCATATACACGACGAAACAAAGACGAAAATAAACGTTCAAGGTCACTCAAAA